GGAAGAGGCTGCGGGCAGCTCCGACGATCGCGAGTTCACGCCTCTCCCGCCTCCGATGCCTCCAGCTGCTCCCTCGTGGAAAGATGCGCCGTCGCGCCGTATGTCCGTCTCGCAGTCCCCCATGACTCGCGCTAGCAACCCGGCCCTCAGTGCATACCCTTCGCCTCTCCTACTCCCGACGGCTTCAAATACGCCGATGCTCCAGCCCATCGACTCGTCCATGCGCACTACAAGCCTCCCGTCTATCTCGAGCTGGCTGGGACATGTCCCCCCTTCACCATCAGTCCAGCCAGAGCGTTCGTCGCATTCAATCGCTACGCTGCGCCCTCAACGCCCGCCAACTTCACTCCCAACGCCGCCTACGTCTGGCTCACTAGGGCCGACCGCGTGCGCGTCCTTACCACCAGCTCTTGCGCTTGAGCTTCCGGGTACCGCGTCGAGAGATGCCTTTGCGAAGAAAGACAAAGACGACAAGTCGGACTGGACGCCGGAGGACGAAAGCGCTGCAAGCCTGCTACTCAATATGCGCACAAGCCCGCGTGACGCGCAGGCGCAGACACCCTCGAGTCTCCTGGGAATGGAATCTTCCAAGACAACGCCACGCAATTTCGCTATCGCTGATACAACTTCTAGCAGCTTGCGACGCGGCTGATGCACAAGCTGCTTATAAATCGCCCGAGGGCGTCGTACGGGTCGGTGCGTACGCCGACTGGCTTCTGGCGTGGCAGAAGTTCGCCGGCTTGTCGAAGGGCGAAAACTCCCTCACCTCATCGACTTTCATTGGATCAAGCGGCTCAAAAACGCCACACGGGTGGGCGTGCCAATTGAGCCGGCCGATGGTGTTCTTTTTTTTCGTCCTCAACTTGTCTCATTTGATCTGCATAGCGACCTTATCTTGGAGCTACGACATACTTGCGACTCATGAACAGTACAGAGCCAGCCGTTGTTTAGTCCCGAAGTGCACCCCTCCCCGTTACCACCATATCCCCCCTTCGAGTTCCCGAGCCCCGATAGTGTTTTCCCCTTGGAACGCATTCTGTACGATACTCCCTCTATGAGCCATATAGACGTTCGCTGCATTGATCGACCTTGCTCTGCGGAAGTGCACGATTGTTAGCCGCGGAACTGCGTCTACATTGGTGCAACTCGTGGCGAACGATGGGGTCGCCGTGGAGTCCACACTACTCTCATGAATTGACATACAGTCGAATTTGTGCACGTATATGTGCAACGACTGCAAGCGAAAAGCCACCTGCGATTTAATCGATCGTGAGCACGTTGCCGTCCCCTTGCGCCACTCTAAACGCGTTGACAGGCTGATCATCGCATAGACGTGTGTAGACAATGTGATCATGCTATTGCAGCCGTGCTGGATGTTCTGTCACTGCTATTCGCCTCATCAGACACAAGGACTCGCGAGGTAGGCAGATTGATCTTTCGCACACAGTTCGATTGCTCATAAACGCCTATACATTCGTGTACAAGCGCTTGCCCACCTGACCGCCGGTTGCTGGCGGCGGATTGGATACATCGTCCTCTGTACGTGTACAACCCTCAGTATCGAGAGACGATTGGCCCCAACTTCGAGTGGTTGTATCCAATCGACGCGCGCTGATGGTCGAACGTGATATCAGATTGCGCGCCCAGGAATTCTTCTACAGCCACGATTCGGCGTGTCGGCGTTGCAGTGAAGAAGATAACAGCGCTCAAGCGTCGAGAAACCTATTCCCCATAGGCATGCATCGCTTATCGCTTGCCCGAATAGTCCGGCAACCAGACAACACAACATGTTTCGAGACCGGCAGTGTAGACGCAGGTCTTGACGCGAAGACTCTGGTCTGGGTGCGTAAGATGACTGCTGTTTACATGAGTCTCCGCGCCGACCGGGTGCCGAGTGGCATCTCGGCAAGAGGGTGGAATGGCTTGCAGAGCGCCCGTTACATTGAGGGTAGCGCTCTGTACCAGCTAGACCAAAGCTACGAGCGCCGTGGACGGTGAACAGATAAGACAGCTGATAATGCAGCCCGACATGGTCCTATTCGCCCACAGAAAGCGCCTGTCCTCGTTGATACCCGCAGCTTCCCTGGAGGTCCATGCGAACCCGTCTTGACCCCGACGTCGCACATCTACTTTGGCGCGTAAGGCGCTCCGTTAGAGGTCTAGGGCCAAGAGGCGCGAGCGACCGGCAAGACCCGGTGTTACCCTCTGTCAGCTTACAAGCGCGCTAGGATAAGCACGGCGCTGTCTTACATGAACATTAGAAGGAAGCGCTCTTGCTCAAGATTACACCGCGCCTATGTAATCGCGAGAGCGAAGCGCGCGTGCCACACGAAGAGCAGCCAATGAACTGACACCACCCTCAGATAGACCGGTACCATGATGTCCGGGGTCGAATGAAAGGCCAGTAGATTGACCATTGGCTGATGTTGGTAGCTAGGTACGGGCAGCTACCCCATACAGCCCATCCATGGGAGGCCGTTAGTGCGTAGTAGAGCATTCAAGCGCTGAAGAAGCGAGAAGCGCTGGTGTAACTCGGCAAGTCGCGCGACGCAGGCGCCGAATCTTGCCAGATCCTGTCGCCGCGGTGATGTCCATGCTTAAGGTATGACGCCCCAATATGAACCACCACAAGCTGACGTCCTGTGCCAATCACGGAGACCGGTCAGGTTCCTGGTGGCGTCTGTGAGGATCCTCGCTGTCATCGCCCACTGTTGACAGAGCTGGGGTACTCGCGAGTAGAGCACAGCTCATGCGTTTATGCTCGATGTAACAGGAGTCCCAAGCAGTGCACCATGCTAAGGTGTCTATTAGTGGTGTGCGAGTCGAACGGGGACGAGAGCCAGAAGCGCGGGGGAGACGAAGAAGTGGCGTGGATGAACTTCGACGAGCGGTTCCTGCAAGCGCCGGTGTGGCCCACGCTCGCACAGGCCTGAGCTAGATCAAGATATCACTGGTGGGCCTGCATACAATGCCTGCAATAAGACGTCAGGGCGCTTATGTCTCACGCATACTCAGGCTGTCTCCCAGTGGCTCCCTCGAGAACTGTAGATTGGCGCCCTAAGGGCGTATGGATGAGAGGCGGTACCGGCGCACCGAGTCGGCGATGCTTCGCTGTATTTGGAGGAAGAGAAGGGGGACGGCCACATTATGCGCCGTGATTTTACGTCGACAGGATCCTTCGATCTACACTTGGAAGCAAAGATAGAACGCATACATTCACGCATGACTGGCCGTAGAATCATGCCTGTTGCAGCCACTCGAACGCGAGGCCGGCTAAGCGAGATGCATGACAAGATGAGCTGCGATTGCGCTCATGCGCTAGGCGCGCGGCAGGGGCGTGTACTTCGGCGATTGAACAGCTTGAACGTCCGATACTGCTTGCCTTGTCAGGTTGCCGATGCCTTTCTGTGGACAGTGGCCGCCCTCTGCCCATGGCACAATCGACGAGACCCGGGGAGCATCTAGAACTGTGGAGAACATAGGCTCTAGCTGCGACCGCATGCTTTGGGCTCTAATGAGAGCTTGTGCGATGCGAATTACTCGTTGACGCTCGTCCAACAGGTTCACATAGGCGCCACGGGCGCCGGGAGATAGCGGCCAAGTTGTATACGGAGCGCTACGCCGGCGTCTAAGCCACGCGTCATTGGAAGTACACTTAGCATCGAAGTTCATGTTCTATAGTGCCCGATGCCTACGTGGGTTGCGATAAACGGCCCTGGCGCCTAACGACCCTCCTTGGTTGTGAATCCAAGGAAGCGCCGGGGAAGAAGTGAATGGATAGAATGCCGGCGCGCGTGCGGACCACGCGCCGTTAAAGCGAGAAAGTGACGTCGCAGTACATGGAGAGATCAATTCCTATCCCGCGACCACAGCTTCACCACAGCTCGGCGTCAGCCGTCGCCATCAACCGTTCACGTCGCTCAGAACTATGATGGTCGCTTCAGCGCTCGGTAGGCCGCACCGGGAAACAATGCGTCATACACCTAGCACCCTTCTTTGCGGCGTTGTTCAAGTTGTTTTCGGCGTCTAGTACTTAGGTATTTACTGCGATACGTCGTCATAGGTGTTGACGCTCGAAACCGAGAAGCGCTCGGCCTATCGCACCGACATGTATGCATAATCGCACCCTGTTACATCGACGATGAGCAAGCGATCAGCGACGTGCGAGAGTGTTCGGTATCTCTTGAGCAACTGTCTCAGCAGTCAGCGTACATAACCGGTGGCCAACACATTGTCCGTACCCGCAACAATCCCGAAACGTCTTCGCAAATACCACTAGAACCATCTTGGTGCGATCTTATGGCGGAAACGCGTTTGGTCGCATCAGAGTTAAGCATGGTGTGGGATACACCTGCGGCAGTGCTCAAAGCTCGACGCATGGGCACTTGCTCGACGGCATCAGAAGTGCTGAAAGCTCGGTGTGAAGGCAAGTGCAGATGCGGGATCGTCGACAAGTCAACAAGAACCGATAAAGAGATAACCGGTTGTTCATTCTGACGCATCGAAACAGGGGAACACCCCGAGGGCCCGATGCAGTTGCGATGTTCAGGTCATTCGGAGCTCCAAACCGAACCAGGAGCTTCATCTGTTCCGCGCACGAGCAAGGTCTATGTACGATATGGAGTGAGAGTTCCGGGCCACGCGTCGATCTCAGCATTGAATGGGCCATGCTGGCGAAGCAGGAGCGCATCAACAAGACAATGTAACCGCGCAGTGGCCTGGAGAAAACGCCGGCCGCTGCACCCGGCTTACAAAAGATCACCTCGGCGTCTCTGCGCGCCCTCGGCCCGACACTTTCTCAGTGTATCGCGCTTTTACGCAAAACGTGCTCGGGTTGACCGTAAGGCGCGGTCACTGCGCCACGGCCATGGCGGGAGCGAGTGGACGCGCTGTGAGTTCATCATACGGCAGAGCGTACGCTGTGGGTGTGTCGCTCGACGACGAAACGAAAATGCGAGCCAGCAACGGATACAGCTCGCTTTGTTGACCGGCCTGTCGTCGAGTCAAGGTCGAGATGCAGGGCTCTATTGTGCAGGGCTCACTCCGGCATTCTATGGGTCGACGTCATAAGTCGCCGGCCGCGGTAATACGCCGAACAGCACTGCGATCGCTGTTTCTGATGCCTGCTCGAGCTAGTCTGAGTACTCCGAGGATGAGAGCAATCAGTTGGGCGATCTTGAGTTGGTGCGGATTGAATTGGAGCCGGACATACACGATTCCATGTTGAAACCTCTGCTGCAACATCGTGGCAGATTGTATAACGGACTCTAATATTTGCAGCTAGCTGTCTAGACGGGCATTGTCGTCATAGATATCTTTGCTGCGTGCTACTGTTCACAGGCGCTCGGGGGCCGTCGACGTGTGCACGTCGATCATCGATCCATCAGGCCAGTGCCTGCGAGCGAGAGAACGTGGGCGCCTGGGTGAGAGATTGGTTGGGAGGCTGGAACGAGAACAGTCGCGAATGTGGGCGCTCGGATGCGTAGCCCCGCTGCCGTCAAGCTTCCTTGTGGCCGTCATGGTTGTGTGAGATGCGAGAGTGTAACAAAGAGGAAGACGTACGGGCTGGTTTGGAGCAGGTAACGAGCAGGAAAGCATGCAGAGGCAGATGGATCGTGCAGCGATCAGGGCGAATGCCTTCGGACCGGTGTCGGTGTCCAAATTAGCGCCGGCATGATTACCGGAATAGATGGGATAGAAACCGGTCAGTCGCGAGAGCGCGCATATGCCACAGGGGTACAAGGGCAAGAACAAAGTTCGGATACATCAGGCGGCACGAGAACCAAGAGATAGCGCGAATATCTTCTTTCGATGGATTCGCGATGTGGCTAACCGCGGCGGGACGAAGGCGCGGGAGGCCACAACGGGTTTGAGATGAACGCAGATCCGAGGCGCCTTTCTCGGATAGCGGCAGGCAAAAGGGTGTCGACTTCTGAAAGAGTTGTCGGGCGCCTGCTGTGCGCTCGATGTGTGTGGAAAGTGATGATGGCTCGGTGGGAACGGGCGTTAATTGGGGACGCTGATGGAAGTAGAGGAAGATTCGCGCCAAACTGCAGGAGAGCCGTGCGAAGCATATACCTGATCCAGCTAGGCGCCTGATAGCCTACAAGAATCGCCTGTCTGTTGCCCGTCCAACTCTGCACCCCCTGCCCCCAGACTCGCCGTCCACGCAGCCATCCCATCGCAATGGACACACAAGCCCCTTCACCATCATCCTCTTCGGACAATCAGCTCGGTGCCCAGCCTACTACCCCGCCACCTACCTCCGCGCCACCAACTCAGACACGTTTCTCCAATTCGGCGTGCGTTATAGATCCTGTAGCGAAGTTTCCCGATCCAGTACTCATATTACACCGTGCAGCCATATACGCTCGAGGATAACGGTCGTCTGTGCAGAGGTTAGTGGGTGCTTCCTGAGCTCCCTGCTGTCCCGTTCCATGCAGTCTGTGCAAGAAGTCCTCCATTCACTTCGGCTTCAAGAGTCGGTCTGGCAGTGGGACTATATCTGTCCCCAAGGCTATCATGCGTGATACGTCTTGTGCTGCATGGCTCGGTGCTTGTGGCGCCCTCGCTTTCCGACATGTACGACCTCCGTGGTGTATTTGGCTCGCAGCTTGGGCGGTGCGGCCGGCCGCGAACGGTATCGGTCACATTGCTGTTGGGCGCAACGATCTATTTCTCCGACGCGCCCTACTGGGGGTGCTTTGCCCCTTCGGCTCGCTTCTCGTTTCCGAGACGAGGCGCTATCACTGTGTGCTCTCTAGGCGCCGTTCTGACCGGGATCCATTACGTTTATGTATCCAACGTACTGACACGTCTCCCCTCATCAGTGCAAACGCCTGAAGCTCAAGTGCGATCGCCGTACACCATGCAGCTCTTGCGTCAAGCGCGACACTGTATCGCGGTGTCAGTACTCGGCTGCTGCAGCAGAGAAGATGTTGGTCCCCCTTTCGTTCACATCTCCCACGCCTCTAACGCTTGATGTAGTGATGTCCAATCATTGCATAATCGTCTTCAGCTCGTCGAGACGCAGCTCGCCCAGGTTATGGCTGGCGGTGTCCGCGCCATCGCCGCAGCGCCATCTGGAGCGCCGGGAGATTCACTCCCCTTCCCTCACAACGATCGCTCCATGCTCGCCACCGGCGCCTCCGGTTCCTCTGTGACGATGTCTCTTGACGAGGTTGCACCGTTATGGCTTGAACTTCTCGATCTCCCGCAAGCGGCATCTGCAACGGACTCGGCCCCGCTGGCGGCGCATATGGCTTCCCTTGTCAGGCTACAACCCGCGACAGTCGACCTCGGCGTTCACGATGAGCCACCGGCCTACACCACGTTGCCTCAGCTCAAGGTCTACTACAGCACCGGCTCAGCTCAATCATGCGTTACTCCACAACTCGTGCAGCTCCTGCCTGGTGCTGCCGCCGTGCGATCACGGATTCTGACGGCTGTGGAGGATACCATGCGTATGCATCCGTGCTTCAACTTCAAGCACTTCCGCACCCGTATCGACAGCATGTTCTCTTGGGCCAAGGAGGAAGAGACCCGTCCGGCAAACCCCAAGGCCGACCTCGCGCGCTCCATTTTCTTTAACACGTCCCCCAAGCCACAACCAACCTTGTCCTTCTTCGCCGCCGTTTGCGCGGCACATGCTCTCGGTGTCTCGGTGATCAAGGAGAACGAGTTCTTCGGTGACTCGCTGGACGAGCAAGCACGCAAGCTGCAGCGCGCTGACGATGGAAGCTCCAGGGCGCCTAAGCCTGTTTGGAGCAAAGTTTCGGCATCGTCGTTATACGCGCTTTCCCAGCAGGCGCTCCAACAATTCGAGCTCTCCCACGCTTACGACCTCGACTACTTGATCGCATGCATCCTCCAGATTCTCTACCTGCTCTACGATGGCAAACCACGGATTGCACATGTTGTTTACCCGCTCGTAGGCAAGATGGTCAACGTCGCGCAGATGATGGGCCTCTCAACGGACCCGGACGAGTTCCCTGGCAAATATACCCTCTTTGAGGCGGAGCTTCGCCGTCGTGTGTGGTGGGATGTCTACTACTATGATGTGTATGTCTTCCATCCCATATTTCCCTCATATCACTAGCTGATCCCATCTCGCTAGATTCATCGCGGACTGCATGGGCCAGCTCCCGATCATCCAGGATAACACGTACACGACGAGGATTCCCGCAGACGTCGACGAGGGCCAGTTCAATCCCACTTCAAACTCACTACCGGTTCCTGTCCCGCGTGGCTCGGGCCCCGACTCAAGCGAGACCGGCTTCGCCTTTTTCGCGCTCAAGTGCAAGTGCGTTCATATCAATTTCTTACGTCTTCCCTTGATGCTGATTTCTTTTTCTTCCCAGGCTGGCCCAGCTCGTGAAGAGTGTCAAGAAACGGACATTCACAGACCCTCTTGCGGCGCAGGAGAGTATCGAGACCCATCTCGAGCAGGCGGAACAGTTTGAAGAGGACGTGAAGTCGTGGCTTTCCGAGCTTCCGCGCCTTTTCCGCCTCGACGCGGATCTCATGGTCTCCAACCGCGGTCCCGTTTCCGCAACTTTGCAAGCTCAGCGCTGCGAGCTGTCTATCGTGGCGAATCGCATGATACTCAAAATCTTCCTGCCATTCCTGCGTGCCTGCGTCTCGGACACGCAAAACTCCGCATCGACGCCGCGCCGTATCGTCTCCTCCGTGGTGGATGCTGCGCACAACATCATCCATGCCGTGCAGCTCACTCAGGGCATCTGGCGCCAGACACGTCCATCGGCCTTTGCGTTCTACAGCTTCGGTCGCACGCTCTTCGATGCGCTCATCATGAGTGCCTCTGCTGTTGTCGTACATCCCACAGGCGCTTCGTCGGGCGTCGCGCTCGCAGACCTCACGACTGGCCTCGACATCATGCGCGACACCCGCACGGCATTCGGACGGTCCAGCCGCGAGTCTTCCGTCGATGAATCGATCCGCATCGTCGAACGTATGAAGATTCGCGCCGAGATGGCGCGCACCGGAGATGTAGCACCCATCCCTGCGCTCGGCACGGTCGCTGGCGTCAAGCGCAAGCGTAGTCCTGAGGAATACTCGGACGAACTGGAGTTGCTCGAGGGCGATTTCAACCTGCCATACGTTGGTGCAGGGGTTTCATGCGTACGCGCACCGCAAGAAGGTCTTCTTACGCCCGATTCGCCCGCAGCACCACATCTTGGACCGTCGCCCAAATCGATTGCGATGTCTGGACCTCGCTCGCGCAAGGGCTCTCTCCACATGAGTCTGCCTGATGCCCGTCTTGGCTCGGCGAGTCCACCTACGCCGGGTACCCCGGGAAGTCCCAAGCCGCAAATCCCTACTCGTGGTCGCCCTCGCGGTTCGAGCTCCGCGACTCGTCGACCGCAGACGGCTCAAAGCAAGGGTCCCAGCTCGCTTCAGACGGCGATGACAGCGGAGTTGACGCCTCAACCTACGTTACAGCTGCAACAGCCAGAGCCACCGCAGGGTGTCTTCGGGAGCTTGAACGAGCTCTTACTCGCAGATGTGCAGCAAACCGTGCCAGGTGGTGTTGTCTACTCGGACCCGGCGCCGCATGGGCAGGGCTTCCACGTATCGCCTGCGCCTGGCAACGCAACGCCCAACTTCACGGGTTATCCAACCCCGGGCTTCAGTCAGGACAGTTTCTTTGGCCTGTACCCCCCCGCGCGCCCAAGCGGTGACGAGTTCATGCTCGCGGCGACGGGTCAAGGGAGCAAATGGCCGCAGCCACTGCCCAGTCCAACGCATAGCGCGGAGGCAAGCCAGTGGCAGTACTACTGAGCGTGTTCTCTCGTCTCTATCGCACCCTTCGGTCGGCTCGTCTGCAACCCCGCCACTTTTCCCATTCACATCCCACGCATGCTATTTATCATTCCATATTCAACTGCTATCCGTTCGTCGCACACGTCGCTTTCACTTTGGCCATTGTCGTTATCATCTCTTGTCGGAGTCCCCTGCATATCATATCTCACTGTTTCTGTACACCTCGGATAACTGGACCTAAAACCTCGCGCTCTGTACTTGTACCTGCTCCCCATGCTTTCTCTTCTCATATGCTCATGCACACCTCATGACCTGTACTTAGATGCTATTATAGCAACTCATTCACCATCCTCGTCTCATGTGCCAAAGTGCTATGCCATGCCATTGTTGCGGACTCAAAATGTCGTCGCGGCTTCGACCCCGTTGGCATCCGCAAGACTACGAGAAGCGATGGCGCCCCAAAGACTCTGCCCCTTCAGGCTGGCCTTTGCAACTGGACCCGTTCTTGCTGGGTGCGCCTCGGCCGACATATGTCTAATCAGTTCGCTTCTTCCCACGAAGATCGTAGATCTGGCAAGACTACTTCTGATGGCCCGAATCAGTAGATACACGTCTAATGTACTCTCTGGCATATAAACGCGCGGGTCAATCACCGCAGCTCTGCGTGCGTACCTCGAGATCCGGGCATATGTCAGACGGTAACTTACTCGAGCTCACACATAACCCTTGACGATAGGAACAGCCGTAGATCGCCTGCCAACCCCAGGCAGAGGGTATTTGCCTCAGACCGCTGAGCGTACCGTTATCTTGCCGCACACGCCAGGCTCCAAATTGCCTGCAGCATATTGTCCCATACACTACTAGTACGCGAGGATCCTCCGCCCGAGCCGCGCCCGGCGCCGTGAGAGAGCGCGGGAAAGCATGGGAACCTCCTATCGAGTTGACCAATTTGCACGTATTGCCATCGGTCCCGCCCGTCGGAGGGTCCGAGAGCGCCATGGAGTCGGCAGCAGTATTGGTATCAAGCCACAGCTCTGCCGTGTCAGCATCGGCCGCTCTGCCAGACGCGGACATGCTGTTTTTTCGAGCGCCCATCGGCAGTTTGCACTCGGGGGAATGGGATGGAGATCGTGATGAGGACAACTGAAGGAAACTGAGAGTTCGATATATTGCGGCCCGGATTCGAACCTACCCATTCCCAATGGTAAAGGAGATGATATCGGCATGTGTGGAATAATGGGCCCACATTTCTGTCAGTGGATAGGGTCATTCTGCGTGCAGCGTGACTAATATGAAGTGACAGCTTCGCAGACCCCAGACGACTGAGCGGTACGTGACAATAGACTCAAATATCTGGAGCGAAAGAGTGAGGAGCGTGACCCAGTCCGCGAGCAACAACTTTGGTCATTTTACCACACCCAAAAGTCATAGGCACACCAACGGGAATATCGTAGACCATTCGACATCGATCTAACTAGCAGAAGGAAAGAGACGCATAGAAAGCAACAAGGCAAGGTCTTGCCATTCATCGAGAAGCATTGCTGGGATACCATCCGCGCACTTGAAGCACTGGTTGCCAGACTCCTTGCGAGACGTGGATGATTCCAACAATCACGAGGCTATTTTTCCAGCCAGCATCCGGGCCCTGACGCCAACTATAACCGAGATATGATGCCCAAAATGGATCTTGCGAGTCGAAGTGCTCGTGCATGACCTGTGGATTACAACGTCAGACCATGGAATACCTTCAAACTGACGAGTTTAGAGCGCACCTGGAGATAGCTATCAACGTGTCGACCGACGCGATGGATCAATCGTCCAAGCGTGATTGGACGTTTGTGCGTGTCTTGCGTCTCCACTTGTTTCTTGTACTCTGAATAGCCAGTCCACTGCATAACATTTTGTAGGCGCTGACTAGCACAATTGAGGATGAGGGAACACGCTCACGTTCAAACAAAGGTGCTTCGTAGTTTTCCCTCCCAGGTTCGCGGGGCTGTTCTCTCCCACAATCTGAGAAGTCGCCCCAGCATTGGCGTCGATAAGGGATATCCCAACTTCGCCATTCCTGCGAATGAAAAATATAGGTGGCTGAAGGACACCCTGATCCATCAGTCGCCTCGCGTTTCCTTCTGACCCCCCGGCATGCCAGAGGTCCTGGGGGATGACCTCTCCGAATGTATCGTCCGCCTCGTAGTCGACGAGGTAACCTATGTCACCAGTGGGGAGCGGGTTCCTGACCCACTGGCTGACGTCAGATGCGGATGAGGGATGTTGGGTGTGGGCGAAAATCCTTCGGTCGGGGTGAAAACCTTGGAGGATCGGGCGACTTGGAAAGGCACTCAGTAATGATGTCATATATTGAACGTAGGCGCCGTGCGAGAGCCTGAGCATTCTAGCGATGTAAGAGTCTGAGGCGTAAGGCACTAGCTGGGTGAATCGTGAACGTCAGTTGAAGGAGGCGTATGCACGATAGACAACACATGTTACCGAGGACTGGGCTTGCCGCATGCTATCCATTATATACGGGGGGAGAGGTGTTGATTTGTGACCCAGGCTGGGACGCCCGGTGTACGGATTCTTATACTGAATCGGATACTTGAGCAGAACTCCTACAACACGCAGTTTACAGCCCGAGCAGTGTCGTGCAGGGATGTCGAAGTGCTACACCGTGCGGCTAACATCCATCAGCCCGGCATGCGTCGCAATGCACGGAGTATGTGCTATTCATGGTTGATTCATCACAGAAACGGAAGAGACCACCACAGATTGAGCATTAGACAAGCGAGAGTGACGCGTCCCAGGACATTGTGAGCTTACGCCAACGTGACACGAGGCTACCGGGCGATGTAGGGCTCATGTTCATTGGTTGGTCGGCCAGAATCCCCGACGAGCAGCGATAGAGTGCGCATCAGGCGAGAGAGGCTATCCGTATGGAGAAGGAGATGAAGAAGAATAAAACAGAAGACGGCCCATCGTCGGCAGAAACAAGTCGCGATCATCGACTAGGGTCACTAGCAGTGGTACCGCGAAGTGATATGACGCGATCACGTGAGTTAGAGCTCGATGGGCCATTCATTGCGTCAAGATGACAACCATGGACAGCTCGCCGACGTGCTGGGGCATACGGGACATACCAATAGCCAAGCGCTTGATTGAGTATGATCATCGCTGATGACGGGCCCGTTTCATGCATAAAGCCCCTGATAAGCAGATGAACATGGTTGGATGGCCTAAATGTTTCTAAGATACAGCGACACCTCGTGTGTAGATTATACGCAGTCCGCGCTGCTAGCACGATAGCTAAATACTCTAGTTGGAAATGTTCGGGTGACTCGAAGAGGTTATATTAACTGGATCTACATGGGAAAGACACCGTGCAGCTGAATGATGGGCTGCCAAGTTCCAGCCGAGACCTGCATGAGTCCGACGATTATGATATGGTCGCGTGTGATGGCCCCGCTGCCTAGTCTCCACTGGGATGGATTATATACCGTACTATTTGCCTATTGGAGAATGAGCGAGTGCGACCTAGGGATTGGGCGTACGACTCACTTGGATGAATGAGTCAATGAAACTACCAATCCGGCGAGCAAGGCGGCTGAGCGTGATCGGCCGGTGATGCGCATCCTGGATCTCGACTTGCTTTTTATATTCATGGTATCCAGGCCACTGCAGATAGTTTAGTCAGCAACTAAGCCACTACGAAGATGATGATGACGCACATTTACATAGAAATGCGTCGTGGATTTGCCGCCCATGGCTGAGAACTGGTGTGCACCAGACAGGGTTGTCGAATGACCGGCAACAGCTTCCGCGAGCGAGATGCCGACTCGACCATCAACGTGGACGAAGAAGATGGGGAGTTGTAGCTGCGCATTGATGGCATGACGCTGGCGATTGTCTTCGCCAGAAGGCATGAATAGGTTCTGTGGGACAACCGCCCCTCGTGAGACATCTGCTCGATAGTCCACGAGCCAAAGTGGGCGACCGTCGGAGGAATTGCAGTGGGGACTAGCGTGTGTGACTGCAGGATGGGCTATGAGGAGTCTGTTGGCCCAAGCAATAGGTTGTAGCGTGGTCGCGTTCACGCCCAATAGATAGGAAAGGTAGTAATGCGCATGCTGAGGTCGGAACGTGTAGGCTATATAGCCATCGACTGTCAAGAACTGGAGGCGTGTTAGACTTTGACGCGAAAGTGAGAAGGACTTCGTACACTGGATGAGGACATGTTGCAGCCTTGAAGTTCTATGCGGACGATGCACTTCACGAATGGCGAGATGACCTGCGGAGAGGAGCCTGGACCCATCTTTATATCTCTCTCGGGCAGAGCACAGAACCATGAGCAAAGGCATGTAGTCTCCTAGCATGAAAGATACTCGTCTCTGGATCCGTGTACGGGAGGCTGAGAGCAGTTGCTCACCCCAGCACAAGAGTCATACTCCTCCTCTACACACCTTCCGGTACCGGCACCGGACATATGCGGGGGAGCATTCCGTCTATGCGTGAACGCTGGCCGAAGGAGATACTAGACGCAATGTCTGCTCTTCGCATGGCCGAGGCCCGCGTCGAGCCAGAGCATTGTTATGGTGATAATGCAATGAATCGCGAACCCGTACAGGATTTGGCAAGACTGGGGAAGGCGCAGAGCTCCTAAATGGAGAAGCACAACATCGAGTGTACGGTATGTAGCGGTGTCGGAGTTTACCTCGCAGGAAAGACCGCCGGATCTACGCTGAGCAGCAGCCATAGTGCACAATGACAGCATGTTCCTTCAGATGTCTGTAAACGGTTTATCGATCATGATACTGGTTTGTAAGGGATGGCGAACCCGGAAAGTGCAAGAGTTCGAGTTGTCGGTGCTCCCGTTTCGTCTGGGCATTGCGGCGGGCGGCGGTTGTCCGGATGACCGTTCGGTGCGCCGCAACGAGTGTTACAAGCACCTATGTCATGATGAAACGACATCGGATGAGGGCCGCTAGATTTTCAGGTGCTAAGTCCATTGGTTACGGTGAGAGGAAGGCGAGGTATGTAGAGTTCGGGAGTAAGTCGAGTCAAGCGTCACAGGCTGGTATGAGCGCGGGATCGCGAGTAGCCTCGAGGCTCGGCGCTCAGCGCGTGGCCGGATTCTTCCATGACTATTACGTATTTGGCAACATCTCTCCTGGTATCGAGCGGGGCAGTACACTCCAAGGGTGTATTGATAATATGGATGGTACAGCTAACACAGCCCCTGTTGGCTTGCACTCAAAGCGCTGCAGACGTATGCTCGGAATACGGAACACCTAATATATACGGAAAAAACCGCCGCCCGTCCGGATAATCGGCATCCAGACATTTGGCGTCGAAGAGACGTGTATCAGGCCGACAATTGTCACGAGCTCCTTCCAAGCTGGACCAACGGTCCATTGAACGATGTCGACGGTATCATTTCCCCCAGGCTTTGCGGGAGGGCTCTAAAGGACGGTTCAATCAAGTAATCGCTCGCCCATGAACAGACTAGGCACCTCCAAGAACGAAGCTATGAAGAAGGCAACTTGTTGAAGCAGACGCCTATCCGTCTTTCTTCCGCTCTTTGGATCCCAAAGCATCTGCTTACGGGCATAATCTGGGTACCCCGGCCACTGGACAGCGTCAAAGGATGGCAAGTCAAGATCACGAGCGACTCACATTGAGCATCAGGATGACATTGTCGGCATCGATTGCACCGAGCTGCTTGAAGACGAGTGACCCATCCAGGTTCAACGCATCTAGGAGGGCAATACCGGCAGAGTCGCTTGATCGCGTGTCCGGGTGTGTATCCGTCTGCGACCTCGGCTGCGTAAAAAAGACGGGGGTATGTAGCCTTTGATGCGCTCCAGGAGTCGGAAGTCTCTGTGGTACGACAGTGCCCATCTTAGGATCAGGAAGATAGTCCAGCAGAACAAGGTCTTGGCTATCGTGCGAGTCATGAAAGTCGCGGTATAGGCATGTGCGGGGAACAAGTACAGAGCGTTGGTTGAAGATAGGGTCCAACCTATCGGGTGCAACACCAGACAGCAAGCGCGACAGGTAGAGCTCCGCAGAGGGAGGTCGAAAAGTATATGCGATGAATCCATCGATCAGCAGGTTGCTTTGGACGGGCTAGGGCTATGTCAGTCTTGTGCAAAATGCGTCCTGTAGAAGAACCCTACACGAGGACCAGAACTTTGATGATGTAAAGAGTGCATATCAGCCGAAATCGCAGCCGTGAGCATGAGGCGGCCAATGTCGAGTGGCGAGCTTATAACGGACTGACATGCGCGTGAGCTCGGGCGGGGGAAATCTGCTGGGCAATGAAATTGGCATGGTTCTTGGAAGTCCTACAGACCACCCTACCATCAGACGCCGCACATCATTTCCTACAGACGATTGAAACTGTTGCTTCTCATGTCAGCAGCAGCATAGCCTCCCCTTATCCCGATCTGGGAAACGCTTAGACTGCATGTAGGACTGTCACACTTCTGCATGCTACGGAGCCACGAGATTAGACGGGTCGCATGTGTATGACACTGGACACGCACTGTGGGATCCTTTGTTGCTATGCGCAAACCCTCCAGGTTTCGAGCCCCGCCAGTTGAAGAGGTTCTTCCTCCAGACAGCAGCGGCGTACCATGAGCCCCGCCGTTCGTTGCCGCGGCCTGATCTGGAGCCATCTTCTGCGTCCAGCAGTCCCTGAGCTGCGGTCCCATGAACGGAGGTGTTTGACTGACGCACCCACTATCTTGCCTTCTGGACGAAGGGATCCAAATTGAAGAAACCTCGGCGCGCAAGCCGCGTGGATGGTGTTGATCTCATAATGAGCAAGTAATTCTGGACGCAGGAGACGGTCTGGTCATATCGCTGTTGGACGTCGCGGTCGTGGAGGGCGAGGACGCCTGGCGGTTATCCGACGCCCGTGGTGCGGTGTGCCTAGCCGCCGTCGGACTCGAACGGTCACATGAGTTTGATCAGATTGGCTGTTCGCTGTACAGTACACGGGGGCTATATTGTAGTACAAGTACAAATTACCCCGAGACGTAAAGTTTCGTGCAAGGCTGCAAACCGAGATTGGTAGAGTGGGTGTAGGTGATAAGGAATATAGTATGTCTTATGTCCTGTTCGGAATCATGCTACTATCGCGGCTAAAGAGAGAATATATGATCCTATATGTGCGTCGAAGCTCACACCCAAGACCCGTTCAACATTACACACAGCGAAACCTGGCATCATAGTCGGGGACATTTCCGGGCGAGTATCTAGCACTAGGCGACAGACGAGTTGCTCGTCGTTGAAGCAGGCTTGAGGTATGGGGCGAGTCGAGCCTTGCGATTGCGTCGTCTCCTGGCCGCTTTCGAGAGTTTCACCTCCGCCATATCAGAAGGCTCTTGAGCGTCTATTGCATCTTGCTCATCGGTCCCATCGCTGAGACTAGCCAGTCTTGGTTCATGTTTCGCTGTAGCATCGAGATCGCAGTCATGCGTATCATCAGTGGCCATGTTGTTGTCGGAGCGACAGTCGTCAGCAGACGAACGAGACTCATGCACAGCAGATGACGAGCTCGTTGAATCCAGTCTATCGAAGATGAAGTTCAGCGCGTGCAGAACAGCTTTCGCTGGGAGCGGCAAGGTGGCGTCAGACTGGAGAGCCTTGACGATCGAGAGACAACGCTGGACTAGGTCCGAGTACTGAGCAGTATGAGCCTGCATGACTACGCGTGAGATTACACGTCGGGCGAACGAGAACTCGAGCAGGTAGAGAGGGACACACCTCAAGTTGGTCCTTTTGGACGGGTTGCCGTATAATCTTGCATATAGAGCCGAGAGCTAGAGAGAGACCGAGTACCACGACTATCTGAAGCAGTGCTATCATCGACGTCTTTGGTTCCGGAGAGTTGGCGGCAGCGGGGCGTTGTTCTTTGTGTGCAGGTTGGTGATTGGTAGACTGGTTAGATCTGCCGAGGGCGGGGTTCTGAGTAGAGTAAGCGGCCGTGACTCAAGAAGGACAGATCCTCATGCGCACCATCAACTTTCCCGGCATTACTCTGGCTGGCGGTTTACAAATGTGAGAGGAAGATGTTCGTTGCGATTGAGTTGAATATGCGCGCGGCGACGCCACTGCAACAAACGCGGTCACACGACGATAACGCAATGACAGCTTGAACGAATCAGCCGTCCCGTTGTTCATTTCCCACTGAGCGACGTCATCCTCGACCGCCATGCTACCCGTACGAGCGCTTCATCGTCTTGTCACTGTCTCCCGCCACCTCTCACGCACAATGTCTACCACCAGTGAACAGTCCAACGCTGTCCCCAATGCATCCGTGACCGATGTTGCAGCCACTTTCCCCGTATCGAGCGTCCCACAGAATCCACTAGGCCAGGGGAAGTACATCAAGACAGCCGCCGCTCTTATCATCGGGGATGAAATATTGAATGGGAAGACCATGGACACGAACACGAATTTCTTTGCCAAGTACTGTTTTGAACAGGGCATTGACTTGTGCGTTGACCGCTCGGGGCGACTGAACGGGCCGCTGACTGGCACTATCACTTTCAGGCGACGTGTGGAGGTGATACCCGACGAGGAAGATGATATGTAAGTGCCTTATTCTACGCGTCGCAGATCTGGTACTCAATGGACGTACGTAGTATCGAAGCAAGTAGGCGTATGGTTGGGAAATATGACTTCGTGATCACGAGTGGCGGTATTGGTCCTACACACGATGGTGGGCTAGAAGACTCTACCTTCGAGAGCCTATACCTAATAGGAAGATAGACATCACCTACCAGTCCCTCGCGAAAGCGTTCAATCAACCTCTGGAACATCACAAAGAAACGCTACATCGCATGCTCGAGATGAGTAGGCACCGGCCGTGGATTTCTACACAGACCGAGGAACAGAAGGCTGCCAGAGAACGGATGGCTCTCTTCCCTTCTCAAGCGGAGGTTCTGTTTGTCGCACAAGATATCTGGGTGGCATGTACCATTTGCTTCTCTGCAGTAGAGTTAGAGCTGATCACGTTTCGATCAGCCTGTAGTGCGACTGGAAGGGAGGTTGTGCGTTTTCCCCGGCATACCGAAGCTTTTCCAGAGGATGCTCAGCGGTCTGACACCTTATCTCCCGCTTCCACCTCCCGAGGAACGGCCATATCGGCAACAGATATTCACATCTTTACCAGAATCCTCGATTGCACCCTTCCTTACGTCTCTACACGGACGCGTCAAACCTGAAGGCATTCGTGTTGGAAGCTATCCGCTGCTTAAGAAGGGTGTATATGTTTCCCTCATCGGACGGGACGCTCAACGCATTCGCGAGCTCGCGGGTGAAGTTGAGTCTGAGCTCCAGGGTCGCATCGTCAGCGATGAGGAAGTGCTGGAGGCGAAACAAGGTAAAGATAGTCAATAGTAGGATGCGTAGATCAGGCGTTATCAGGTCTTTTATTTTGTATACTACAGAAATGGATCGTACAGCCTCTCATGCTATTCAACTGAGGTTATGTATACCCGCAGTTTGAGTCCCTCCTAACAAGCACCCTGTGACTTCATATTTAATCCTTCACCTGTGACTCCCAGATGAGCTACTCTGGGAGTTTTAAGCTTTTTGTGACTACTCTGTATGCCGGCGTCTGTGGACGCGTTAATGGCAAGCGTGGACCAACACATTGAACATGGGTCGATCTTTGCATGGAAGACGTGTCACGGCGTAGGTTCTGGAGGCGTGCGGCAGTCCATCTTCGTCATGTCAATACGTCCTGCGCCTGCTCCGCGAGGCTCTTCGGAGTTTCAATGACGGATGTGGCTGCATGCTTCCCTTGCGGCGGCATAGGGCCGAGATACAGTGACTGCTCGTACCTCTGTCTGCTTGGCGACGCATTCGATCCTACAGACGATATGACCGACAAGTGAATACACCCTACTGTAGCACACGATCCGCGCTGCTCATATCACTTAGCATGGTAACATATACCCGCTCTTGTCTCCATCGAAGACACGCTTGAGGCTGCTGAACCGCCGCGGCAGAGGGATTGCCCTCGGAGATCGCATCGTCTGTAGCTCCAGGGTCTTCTCTCCTGTTTGGCGCAGACATCCCCGCGAAGCTCGATTCGCTACGCCAGACGTCAGAATGTGAGTTGAATCGTACCATCGAGCATTTCCTTGCTGTGATCCTACAGACCATGAGGCAGCTAGATCGCTAGCGTACGGAGCAATATGCCCGTTATGTCCGAGACGCTCGTGTAAGATGTGCCATAACCAGCGTGTCACTATGTAAGTGGTAAGATATGTAATGCGTGCGATGATGAACAAGAATGGAGTAGTGAATGCGGGAAACGAAACGGTAGGTTGTGTCGAAGAACTAGGGACCTGAAGCTCGCGCATGTTCAACATACTGCCGCATGAGCCGGACAACCTTCTTCAAGTTTTGGCTATACTTGCCAGACGTTGGTACGACATCCAGCGGACCGAACTCTTCTCTTACAACCCTCTCCAGCGTCGCTAGCTTTTCTCGAGCCTCGGCTACTGCCTGAGGATTGGTACTGTCGAACAGGTCCGCCTTGTTCGCGATGACCATCCTAGCGCGCGAGCTCATTCCTTGCTGATACTTCTCCAGTTCATCCTTCAATACGCGTAGTTCGTCCCAGGGTGCGTCGCCAGAGAGGTCAACCACGTAAACCAAGGCCAGCGACCGTTCCATTGAGCGCAGGAAGGAATGTCCCAGTCCAACGTTTTCTGACGCTTGTGCAATGAGACCCGGATTATCGGCGATGGTGAACCGGAAGTCTTCAAGCCCGGACTCAGGCGCCCCCTCCAAACTGTCGTTGAGCTCCTGATTTCTCGAGCGTATGTTGGCCAGTTCACCGCTCTCCATCAGCTGACGATCTCGCTCTTCTTCGACGAGGGTGTTATCGTACACCTGGTTCAGAGAACCGCCCATGAGCTCGCCGGTAACAGCGACCCGTACAACGCCCACGTAGGGATTCAGCGTCGTAAAGGCGTAGCTCGCAATCTCGCTCTTCGCCCGACCGACCGTGAGAGCACGCAACAATGTGCTCTTGCCAGCATTGGGCATGCCAACGAAGCCAATATCCGCGAGGATCTTCAGCTCGAGTTCGAGCGTCACTCGCTCGCCGTCATAGCCACGAGTGGCAAATTTTGGCGAACGGTGGTTACCACCGAGGAAGTGAGGATTGCCAAAGCCGCCAGTGCCACCGGATGCAACCAACGTGCCATAGTTCTGCGCGTGCGGTAGCCCTAGCGGTGAGTCTGCCGGTCGTTCCACAACATCTTCGACATTGAGGTCGAGTAGTAAAGGTGCAGCATCGCGCTCTCGACGAGCTCTTCGCATATCCCGCTCCATTTTCGTCAACTCCCAAATGGCGTCTTTGAATGCGGCGCGATCCATATTGCTCTCCTCGTAGTTCGGGAAGTGAATGAAGCGGCGACGGCGCCATTCAGCCTGCCGCTCTTCGGTGTCGAGACCCTCAAGGTCTGCTTCATGCGCTTCCCATTCGTCTGGTTGTCGACGCGGGTCTCCGCGTGGAAGTTCGCGCACGATGGTACCGAGCGGGACGCGTATTATAGTAGGTTCGCCTGCGCGACCGTTCTGGAAGGTGCCCAAGCCTGTTCCGCCCGCATTGCCGCGCACTCGTCGAGAGACAGAGGACAGTGTCGTTAGATGGGATGTGGGTTGGATGTACACATCGCCTCCGCGGCCGCCGTTTCCGCCGGAGGGTGGCCCGTACTGCTGGAACTTTTCGCGATGAAAGGCTACGCAGCCGTCCCCACCTCTACCTGGCAAATGAGTGGTTAGTTCTACTACAATAGTGAGCGTCAATATATCAATGACCTGCGCGGACTGTGACAATCATGTGGTCAAGAAAAGTTTGACCCTGCATTAGCCCGTCAGCGAATGTCGAACGAATGTACCATGCGTGGCTCACCCCTTGTCTCCTTTTCCATTCCGTTTTGCGTTGACGGAACCGCGCTTCTCGCTCCTCCTTCTCTTCGGGAGACAGCTCGCTTGACTTTGAGTCTTCAAGATACACAGGTAGACCAGAGTAGTGCCGTGAATGCAGGATTGTCGAGGAGGATGGGGAAGCACTAGGCCGGCAAAGTGCAGTCAGAGTAGTACACCGACGCATCATGAAGTGTCTCCGCGTGTGAAATCGAGAGGCTATGATGACGGGTTGCTAGCACTGTCGTGGAGGTACGAAGAGGGAAGTGGGTTTACCGTGCGTGCTCCTCGACGCGTCGAACGCGTCGCGTCACAGCGCGACGGCAGTCCTCGCGTCTTCTCTTCCGACCCCCATGTTGAAAGATCGTTTGACGTGATCTATACCATGCATGCTCGTTCGTTGGGCATGACTGCCTCGATAGGCTCGCAAGACAGCTCCTACGCCTCATGTTGTGCGCGTGTTGTACAGTTGTTTTGCGTTTTCGTGTGGATTACTACTTAAGCCGTTGAGGCTCCTGTAGTGGGAACGAGGCTATGGGTCTCCAGGAGCGTCACCATTCTTATGAACTCGGTGTACATAATTGTTCTTCAGCGGAGTTCGAGTCGATGTTCAGCGTTGCGATCATAGATCACTTGCAAGCACGGCTACGGTGCGATTTCTGAACCCTGACGCTGTATCCTGAATGATGCTGAATCCCGTGTCGCCCTCGGGGCGCTCAGCGCTTCGTATTTCTCATTAGGGCTCGGGTGAGTATCTCATCTCGACACCCGGCAAAGCCTTGCTTACTAGCCGATATCAAGCAGATGTTGCGTTGCGTAAAGTGGTTCGGTTTTCATTGCTTTTCATTGCTCAAGACCCATGAACATTCACCTCAGCGACCACAAGCAACATTAGGGTGCTTGGGACGATAAGCGGCTTGAGCGTTAGAGTCCTCCACGAGGACGTCCATAAGCAAGGGATTTAGATACGCGGAGTGCATCAAGGAACGTGTCGCCGTAACGGGCGCAGAGCCGAGATGTGCACCAGCGGCAACCCTGATTTAGGAGGTAGGGTTCTCATGCGGTCATACGCATGGGTTACCGCATAGAGCTCTTCGCCAATGCGCGTTGCCTATCTACCAACTTGCGACCACATCCATGACTACCAAACCGGAAGGCCTCTCAGTGTATCGGCAGTCGGAGCGATGTACGCATGATGACAATCCTGGTAATGCGCTCGGGTGGAACTGAGGTGGCACATCACAGTTGCAGCTGGGAATGGCGATGTTGAGTTGTTATCGTCGGATGGTGTCGTGTTCAAGGTCCATCGGGCCAATCTAGCCTCGCACTCCGCTGTCTTTCCAGGCCAAGAGATGGCGACAAACGGAGAGCTCGTTCCTCTGACCGAGAGCTCAGAGGTCCTTGGCATCATCCTACAATACGTTTATCCAAGTCCTCCATGCCAACTCGATGCACTGTCCTTCGGGATCCTGATACAAGTAGCTGAGGCAGCGGAAAAGTACCAGATCTTCGCAGTGATGGAGATCTGCCGGGTGCTTCTGGAGTACGTCGTTGTTGTATACGGGAGGTTGAGATGGAAGGTTGACCCGTATAGGATAAGAGACTACCAAGAGCACCCTCTTGAAGTGCTCGCGTATGCTTGCAGACATGGACACACGTTGATGTGCGACCGGGTCGCCCCTCTGACGCTCGCCGTGGAACCTCGAGAAGCACTGAGGGTGCTCGGTCCTGTTCACTTCGCTCATTGGGTACGTCTGCATCATCACAAGTCGGTCTCACTGAGACAGATAGCTGACGAACATGGCCAGATGCTATACCGCGAGCAGTGGGTTGCTATACGCCTTTCGTTACCGACGTACATGGACCACGAGCTGGAATATATCAAGAAGCACTGGGGCCCCTGTGACCAGAGGTGGGAGCAATACCAGAAGATCTGTAAGGAGGCGGCGCTTCGTGGCGACATCCTTCGCTGCCTGCGAGAGCCCGATGTCTTCCTCGCCGGTGTAGTGGCCATCGATCTTACTGACCACGGCTGCCCGGGCTGCACGGAGTACTGGGACGAGCGGAGAGCTCGTCTCCGCCGTCAAGTGACTCAAGTTCGCGCATTCAGCGCCATACTGCCAGTATAGTCATTGAGGTTCTCCGGGACCATCAGTCCGTCGTTCGCATAGTACACGTAGTCTGGATTCAATCGGCAATATGGCCATACATATGCTACACGTCTGACTACCCATGCGTATCAGATATGAACGAATTCCGACCAATGAGCACGCAAAGATGAGCAAGGAACACGAAGACCCGACAGCCCAAGAAAACCCCAATACGTGACTGGATGCGGTTTAGAGAACGAAGGCGGAGAGGGCACCGGCGGCGACGAAGGCACCAGCCGTGGGGAGGTAGAAGCGCGAAGAAGCGCCGCTTGCGGTGGTGGAGTTGGCGGCGACAGCGGCCTGAGCAGTGGCGGTGGCCTTTACGCTAGATGCGGCCGAAGATGACTTGGCGACAACGGCAGCAACGGAAGATGCACCAGCCGTGGCACTAGCGGCAGTAGAGCCGCTCGCGGACGAGGCGCCCTGAACCTGCGCCTCAACGGTCGAGTTGAAGGTGCCAGTCGAACCAGAGACGCTGAAGACGATGTCAAAGCGATGAATAGATGGGAGTGAGAGCATTTACGCACGCGAACATGGCTGAGAAGGCCTGTGCGGGGTAAGCTGTGTTGGTAGAATCCTTGAGGGTCTCGGACGAGAAGCGCATGAAGCTATGGGAACCATCAAGACGGTGATATAGAATAGTCGTGAGTTGTACGCACTAGACAGCCTGGTTGTTAGGACCGATGTCGCCTGCAGAGACAGTGAGTGCTGAGCAGAGAAGGGTCAGATAGATGGGACCGACTGTTGATCTTGAAGGTGATTGAGTTGTTGACGGACACGTCCAGAGTGCCCTGCAGAGTGTGAGTGATGCTCGCCACAGATGATCAGATCCTACATACAACTTGCTGCAGGAGCGTCTGCTCGATCGAGTTACCAGCGTAGACACCTGAATGATGGTTGCCCGATGAGCACGGAGCCAGTATAGGGAAGAACGACACCTACCGAGAGAGCTGACGCCCATCTCAGCGAGGCTGGGAGACGAGCCGTCGTCCTGCCACTGGACGGTCACCTGTGGTTGTATGTGAGTTCTAGTTTCCCTTCAGCGAGCTTCAAATGACGCACGTCCGTGCCGACAGCCCAGGTGGTGCTGGCGACGGGAGCGACGACCTGGATACTAGTCAGAATGATCAACAGATTTCCCGTAGCCCGCGAAACGCACGTAGAGCTTGGCAAGGGCGGACTGGGCCGCGACGGCGAGGATAAGAGCGGTAGCCTTGGAGAACATTCTGCAAAGAGCGGAGGGGGTAAGAGAGTGTGGAGTTCGCGTAGAGCGAGAAAGCGTTGAGAGCTTGAGAGCTAGTAGCACAGGGCGAGGGAGAAAGACGAATCTGACCCATGAGGGATCTTTATACTGTGCCTTGACCAGGGGCACACGCGCCTAACGTACTTCCCGAACTAGGCCCGCCCGAGCGGCCAAGCAAGAAACGAAGTCTGAAATATCTGTGTACACGCAGGAAACTTCCTTCCATTTCTCGGCTGTCCGAACACGGAGGGGATGTCAGGATTTCATCGTATACTTATCACTGCCAGGAGTGGTCTGGAGTGGCGGTTCTCGGGAAAGCGCTCAGTCGCCGGCTCTAAACTCGGGCGTTGCCGCTTCGGATCATTCGGTTGAAATTGCCGGTTGAACAAACTCGACATCATGCATCGGCATCACTTCGCAACGAGGCTCGCTTGTGCTGCGCTTACTGCTCCACCGAGCTTTGAACGTCTTCTTCCCTGTCGCCACCACGAAGCTTCCCATAGACTCAATAGTCTTCACCTGTGCTAGCTCTCTGCTTAGCCAGTCAACATTACGCTTGGTCGTGAATTCCACTCTTTTGCATTCGCTCTGTATAGACTCTCGCTGTCCGACATGTTTCATTTCGCTCTGCTATTTTTGCTGTCTTCGATCGTCCAATTCGCCTCCGCCGAACTATATGTAAGGTTTCTCTTCGGCCGATGAGCGTCGCCGGTGTCTGACCTCTTGCTTCAGGTAGCTTCTCCCGACTCATCCACAACTTGTTCAGCGGGGAAAGCATGCACGGTCACCTGGCTAGACAATGGCGTCGCACCAACATTAGAAACTATCGGGGTATGCACCGTGGGCTTGTACCATGGCACTCAGGTGAATGATTTCGATGCAAGAATACTACATGAGGCTCACGTCATACTCGGTCGCCCAGCAATTGGTCCAGATGATTGACGCTGTCAACGTCGCAACATCACACTCGTTGTCCTTCACTGTATGTCCCATCATGTCGTGCGACAGTAGCGAGGTCTAACGTATGAACCAGCCCCAAGCCAACGCCGGACCCAATTCCGATTCATAGTGAGTGTGGTTACCGTACGCCATATCTTCGCTTTGACTGATCGTCGCCAGTTACATCGCCTTGAAGTCCAAGACCCAAACCGGCAACTCGACTTCAGACTACGTGGGTTTCTCAGCGAATTTCAGGTACGCTGCAGATGGTTGCTATACGGGTACGTTCTGACGAATATCCGACGCGTAGGTTAACCGGCATGACCGGCTCCTTCGACTCGCCTGTACCATCATTAACGTCGTCGATCGCCGTCCCATCGTCCTTGACGGATAGTAACGCTATCTCAACCAGCACCCTACCTGGCACTGTCACCATCTCTGTGTCGAGTGCCACAACAACACCAACCCAGACTTCGCCGTCGTCTCGCATGACGACATCATCCGCACGCTCATCCTCGGCCGCGTCGAGCGCAAGTGCCGCCGGTGCATCATCGAGTGCCAGCGCGTCGGCTGCTGGAGCAGCATCATCAGCTCTAGTTTCTAGACCTACCCTTGGTCTGGTATCAGCATTCTTCCTCTCCACCCTGGCTTTCGTTGCGTATGTCTGATGCATCATATACCATACGTCAGCGTGTGTACGATATATATCCGCGAAGTCTGGATCTGTATTATTACCCTTCGGACACCTTACTCAACCTCTGTGATACCTACATCCCACCAGTCGCGGCATGAACACACTCCTTTTAGCCCATCCTCCCATGCCCAGCAACTTATCACTCGCCCAACCCATCCGTCATGGACTTTTGTATATTACAACGCTAATCTTCTAACTGCAATCCATGCATCACATGCTCTCGATATAGTGTGCTTTAGTAGAACGCTCGGTCTCGAGTTTGAGTTGCCGGTGAGGTCGGTGAGGGTGGTAGCTTTAGGCAAGCTTTAGGGGCGGTCCCAGGATTCGCTCACGCGCTCACGACGCGTCGGACGCGTCGCGACTCGCGCACGCGCTTGTTCGATCTCGTCCACAACCACCATGTCGCACCTCAACCTAGACGACTTGAATCAGGTTCGTTCTCGATATCGAAAGACGCGTGATTGCCGCTGAGCAGCATGCATAGACGGTGATCTGTATTCCATACGAAGAAGACGGCACGTTCGACCAGCACCACCTAGAATTCGTAAGCTCACAGCTCCGCAGACGATAGCTCCGACGAATACGATGTTGAGGAGACATCGTTCAAAGCACGAGACATTCCGGATGGGCCCGCTGTACGGTTCGAAGCTTATGTCGCCGCGTGGGGGGAATGCTTTCAGCGCATACAGGTCTGTCTACTAGCCTGCGCCCTGCCCTTACATCTATTGAACGCGCAATAGGACGTCATGCGCGATATAAATGCCCCTTTGGCGCAGAAGCTCGTTGGCGACATACAGACAGCCTACAATGCACCACTACCAGGCCTTCCTTATCCCGAGATCCCGACATTTGCGGTCTGTGGTCCGTGAGATGCGTGCTGCTATATTATTGATGCGTCCTCAACGCATGCTCCGTAGCTTCCGGAGAATCTTTCATCTCAGATATTGCAACGCGACTTGAAGACTCAGAAGATGCACCAAATGGTGCTGGGATTCATAAGAGTGTCGCAGCTCGCTCTTCCCGCGTCATACACCTTCGCCCATCGGAATGCACGAACATCACGAATACCATGAAGACCCTCATTTCTGCGTTCATATCTGAACCTCCTGGAGAAGTTGACGGTGCGCATAAACTCGTGTCATGACTGTGCATCGCTGATTCCACTGCAGTCAAAAGGCGGCCTACTACTTCATTGGCGGCGTTCGACATAGGGCTCTTGATAACCTGGTACAAGGCGCTGACAGAACATCTCGGAGAAGGTAGACACACTCTCCATTGTATATGATGCATCACCGACTTCGTGGACAGATGATCAATCACAGCTTGTAGTCTTTATGCATGACTTCGAGCAATTCGAGCCCTCCGTCGTCTCTGATCTATTCCATATATGCAGGTATGATGATTTCGAAGAGCTTTGAGGCTTGGCTGAAAGTAATACAGCACTCTTATCCCGGACTTGCCGCTCATCTTCGTCCTTGCTTTGGCTTCCCCTCCGGCTCCGTCGTTCATCCACGCGACATATCGACGAGCCACCCTCTCTTTGCTGCAGTTGCAAACGACCTCCCTACCCAGCGGCACTAATTTGCTCGAGCGGGTTTTACTTGATGTATGTCCAAATTCACTCTTGCCTGGGTCCGATACTCATGGCCATACAGACCTTCTTCGACCTCGAATACGAGCCCCCCGTCATGCTAGGTTATCGTGTGCTGGAGTCGACAGTCGAGCTCTTCACACGCCACTCGCCTTCTCTTGAAGGGATATGTGCAGGGCTTCAGGTGTGACACATCCGTGCTTGAGGTCTGTGGGTGGGCACTGACCAACTGGGGACAGGTCGCCCATCTCAAGCACTTTGATGACCCTCTCACCCTCTTCGATGACCCGAACCCTAAACGATTGGACAAACTGTTGGCGTCTGCCGAAGCCCTACCGCTCCTCGACTCCGTCGTCTCTCGACTAGCAAAGCATACTTCCTTACAGAATCCGATCTCCAGGACCAAGGACCTCTTTCAGGCCGTCGTGAATGCACGATCATCCTTGTTCGCATGTCTCCGCAAACTTCGACTGGGGCTGCGATCCTTTTTGGTCGTCCGTGATTTCCTCGTCTCCAAGAATATCGTCAATCCGGCCTCCAAGGACGAGCTCACCACCACTTTTGAGGCGCTGAGTTGGGGTTTGCGCGGTTATCTTTCGGAATGGATCCATCCGTTCGCACAGCGAGTCTCGTGAGTCTAGCACATCTCGCAAAGCCACGTACATGTCCCTGACCAGAAGTGCATAGCGCCCTATCCGGAGAGGTCAAAGAATCGTTGCTACTCGAGCTAGCAACCTGGTTGGACGGTGTGCCCGAATCGTTCAACGAGGAGATTGCAGGACTCCCCGAGCTCCTTCTCAGGTCAGATGATGAGGTGATGGCCGAGCTCGGAGACTGGCTGGCCAACTTTTGGGAAGAAGCCGTTCAGGATCTCGAACAAGAACCTCTTTGGGATGTATGGTTCATGGGATCAACACCGTTTCCCACGGAGGTACGTGTGAAGTTCGGGTTGCATGATTCGTCGTGTGCTCAACAGTGTTTCAGGCGGTCAACCCCGCACCTCGCGCCGCAGTGCTTTCCGGCCTCCTCGACCCATACGCCTTCGCTGAGACCGGTGATGTCTACGGTCGTCCCCGCCGCGGACTATGGGAGATGCCGGATACTTCGATCCTATTCCGCCGTTATCTCGAGGCAGGGCGTATGGTCAATGTATACGACTGGTATGAGGCTTTCGCCATGGCATTGGAGACGCAGCGTCGTCGACTCAGTGCCCTGAAGGCCGAAGCTGACGCAGAGAAGGCGGCACAGAAGGGAAAGGCCAAGGCGAATGGCAGAGGGAAGGCCAAGGCACCTGTGCCGGAGGTGGAAGAGGAGGAGGATAAAGACGCAGAGGAGAAGTGGAAGATGCACGTACAGGCGCGCTTCATTCGTGCACTGCATGAGCTTGACTATCTAGGCTTCGTTAAGCACACGGGTAGGAAACCGGACCACATCGTCCGTACCGTGTATGACGGCGCAGATTAGCTGCAGCTTCTTCCGCCCTATCGCATCACCTTTCATGATGCACCGTTCCATTGACGTTTCATCCGCTCGAGGTGCGTTCTCGTGCGCTGCGAGCTGTGCGCCTAGTCTCCCATCATCCGTACCTGCCGCGGTGGCAGCCACAAGTAGTCACTCTCGAGGACCAGCATTGTGAGGATGCGCAGGCATGCGCTACAAGTACTCCCTGTGTTCGTATCTGCCGGTGTCAAAACGTGCACGACGAGGTGCAGCGAGTCTACATGACGCAGCTTCTGGCCCACTACTGCGGCCTTCAACGCAGTCTCTGAGCGTTACCGCACAGTGTGCACCTCTACACGGTGCCTGCACCAGCGGTACATGAGGCGCTCAATGCCATCTCAGTACACCGCGTCAGGTGCATGAGCGGGTATAAAACAATTGCCATGTCTGTCATGGCTAATCCATCGAGCAAGTCTCCTCTTAGTGAAGAGCCAGCGATAACCAACACCATGCAAAACATACTTCAAGCAAACTTGGTTCGTGACTCGCCTCTTGGTCTCTCCGCGACGTTATTGACCTTGGTGTACAGAACCCGGCCAGTCATATTCTTCAAGGCCATATCTGTGCCACGTTTGGCTCGGAAGAGGCTCGTCTGTACTGGCAGCGCGTATTAGGCCTCGACACTGCGAACCTGTACCCGGCAACGAACGGGAATGGTGAACGCAGGATCATGCTACCGAGCTCACCTCAGAGTCCGGCACCTCCCCATGCTCTGCCTGGCATCCCAGGCTGTTGGGTGGTGGACTACATGCCCCTATTCCACCTTGGCCCCATTGTGAGGCAGCAGCCATACGTGCCCACTGGGACACACGACCAAGTTGCGCCGCATTACCAAGGGCTTCGCGCCCCGATCTGGTTTATCAAGAACAATGGGACGCTCGGTATATCGCTAGTGGATGCCATAGGCGGCAGAGCCGATACCCTTCTTTGGGAAAGCCAGAGCAAAGTGCAGGGGACTAGAGCAGTGAACACCCACTTCACCATAAGGGTAACGTCCCACGCCGATGCAGCATACTGACTTCGACGACTCATCATGACACTAGTGGCCCTATTACGGCGAGTTCTCAAAGTTGGTTAACTTGTACGATAGCCGGCGGGAGTTTCATGTCAAGTACGGGCAGCTTGCTAGGAAAGTGGCTAATTTTATGGGGAGCTTCCTGGAGGTAAGCCTTTCTCTCCTATCCTCAACATTCCGCTAAGCGTCGTGGACTGCTCAGGAAGCTGCACAGCAGCCGGGCAATCACGCTTGGGTCGTACAGAATACCGACCACTTCATGGCGAGGATCTTGATAGTTGGCTTGGTTCAAGTTACCGCTGGCCACTATCAGCCGATCATACAGCTATGCCACGGTGATGCCAGGCTTTGGTAGATCACTTGCAGTCTTGGGCCTTCTGGCTGATCGGTGAATGTTATAGAGAGCTTCGTTTATGGCCCAGAATGAGTAGACCAGTCTGGAATCGTATCATGTCCGTACAATATGTGTCTATAGAGTTAGAGTATCTAAGAAGATGTGTTCGGTATTTGGTACAACAAGATTCCGAAGAGAGGAAAATGCGAGAGAGTTACAGCAATTGGTCAGTCCGATGTCTATGTGGGTTTTTGAAACGGAGGAAGTCTAGGTTGAAAGAGTGGACTTTGCATCTCGGATGCAGGTATCAGAGAACGCATCGATGATGGTGCTCCATCGTTCGACATCCCTACGCTGAATATCAGGGATCTCGAGGACGCGAACCCATGCGCGAAAACGCGGCACGATGGGTTTCGTCATGCAACCACCGCCTTGCATGAGAGAGAGGACGTCGACGTCGAAGAGGCGCGCGTATAGTTTATTGATGTCCTTTCCCCAGGATCCCTGCGTGCAGAATGATTGATTGTGGTTTGTCTCTAGCAAGGTAATCAGACGGACGTACCCTCATAGAGGACAGTCGCGCGAAATCCCGCATATAGTCCTCGCCTTCTTGTAGAGAGCGCATGCGGGAAGAGTCGCGCTTGAGATTATCCCCCAGGGAATATCCATGCTCGCCCCATGCCTGTAACACCCTCATTCCAGCAGGTGATACGAGCAACGTGAAAGAATGAGCGAAGCTCTCATAGTCGTCACCACCGCGGACCAGCATCTCGACATCCACCAAGTTGACGCCTATGGCAGTCGTCTCCCCAAGAACCTCGGCACGCTTACGAGCGCGCATATAAGCAGATAGAGCATCCGCACTCGGTGTACGTGACACGTCCGTGGCCGTGGGCAGTCCGCCAAGTGCTCGAGAGAGCCATCTCAAAGACTGCTCCAAACGCATGTCTGGGGAGACAAGCAGAAGCAGAAGCGTGGTCGCCAGTTTACATGACCTTGCGGGATATACAGAGGCTAGATCCCGGTAGTCTTTTGAAGTAAATGAGTGTAAGGGTGGCAGGGTCTGCAGTGAGCGGCCGTTTGCGGTGTAGACCGACTTGAGTGTCATGTCAAGGATCGCTGCGCGGTGGGCGAATGCCTCGTCTCCTCCTGCACAGAGCTTGTGGAGGACATCGTGAACCGTATCGATAACATCCGAGCTGGGACACGTGGCGATGGTGGTCACCGGAGAAGACGGAGAGGTTGGAGAGACCTTGCGCAAGGCGCGCACGCGCTTCGACTGTGGGCGCGTGAAGATTGTGCCATCGTTCAGAAGAGTGTACGCACGCACGTCTACGGGAGGATGCCAGTCGGGATGATCATCCCTCAGTGCTTGTACGAGTTTCGCGACACCGGCACCGGGTGCGCGTATCTGAACATGAGCGAGCGCGACAAGCACGTCTGCATCCGAAGGCATGCTGTGGCAATTTATTCAGCCGGGCTACTCTTGATAGACGTACTCGCCATACGCACAGGAAACGATGGTGGTAGGAAGCCAACTCCCTTGGCATCCATAGCCGTAGCTGGTGCTCAAGTCGTATGCGTTCGAGGTGGTGTGGTTGCCATCTTGAGACCAACCATGTGGCGTGGTACAAGTGACGTCTTGCAGATCCGCTAGTCTTATCACCGACGGGACCGCGACAGACCGCGACGGCTTTGATGCGCATGAGCGCTTGAGCGCTTGTGAAATCCTCGTCAGTGGAGAACGTATATATTCTATGATCAATCAATCTTGACATTGTGGCTCTACAGTGCCAAGCGCTCCCAGACTTCTCTCTTGTCTACGCTAATGTTGCCAGTTCCTCCAACACCTGTTCATAGGTTTGCACTATTTCGTCGATCGCCTGGTCATCGAACATCGCCTTTCGATAGTGAAAGTCGCCGTGCATGCTACCATCCGCGTGCCTGTTGAAAAACACTTGTAGATCGAAGCGCATCAGGCGCATATCGATGTCAATGAGGCGCAGTTCGAGCCCGTCCTCCCCCTCGCTCGAGACACGAATCGGTGCATCGTCGAATTGGTGATACCCCAGAGCGAGGCGAAGTAGCGGGTCCGCACGCAGATCGCGTCCAGTGCGAGCGGCAGACTCCGCGGCATACATGGGGAATGGCGCCTCTTCATTCGCAAGCGCATCCCAAGCCATACCGCGAACGCGTCGGAGAACGTCGAACACACCGTCGTCTTCGTTGATTTTGATAGGGTAGAGATGGATATTGACGAAGTATCCCACAGAATCCGCGAATGCCGAAAGTGTCCGGTTAGCCGCTGTCGCACCGAAAGTTGGGGTCATAGTGGCGCCGCGCGTTCTCCCGCCCGACAAACGATCGTGCGCGAGTCGCAGTGCGGCTACGACGACGACGAACATGCTACAATGCTCGACACGACAAACGTGTTCGAGCCTACTGACAAGATCGGGTGTGCATGCGAGCACCCGTAATGCACCTTCACGCGATGGTTCGTGGTCCTTTGTGCGCGGATGGGTGGCGGCAAACTCGAGGGCGGTTGTAGACTCGATCAGGGATGTCCAGTACTTCAGCTTGGGTTCGATGACACGTGCAAAGGGCTCGCTGCGTTGCCAGCGCGCAAACGAGCCATACTGCAGGGGCAGAGGAACTAACGCCTGTGGGCGAGGATCCTTGTAGAAGGCGCCGATCTCATGGAAGTGAGTGGCGCGAGAGTAGCCGTCGGTGATGATATGGTTCATAGACAGGAGTAGGACGTGGACTTGCTCGGAAAGTCGGAAGAGGACCAGTCGGCAACCAGTCTCGCCATCTGGCAGAGCGAATAGTCTGTTGCCGTGGAATCGAAGCAGATCCCCGAGTGCGCCCTCACTATGGACGGACCAATCAAACGCGTCAGCCCCAAGAGCTCTTGCCGCGACGTCTGTGGGAACGTCGATGACCTCCAACTCTGGACACCACTCTGGCAAAACCCGCATCGCAGGGCCATGGAAACCAGCGACACCCGCGTCGGGCACAAAGACAGATCTCAAAATCTCGTGGCGATCGAAAACCTGCTTCATGGCTAATCGCAGTCTGTGTTGGTCGAGAGGACCATCAAAGCGGAACCAGTGCGGACAGTGTGCTGTGGGGTCGTTATCCGTCAAGACCATTTGCCAGACGCGTAGTTGGCCGATGGAGAGGGGGTGCATAGACTGGCCTTCGCCCAGGTCGACTCCATATGGCCAGGCGTCGTTCTCGGTGGAATGTGTAGAGGCGCCCATAGCATCAACGAAGTTCGCCAACTGCCGTGGAGTGGGGTTCTCGAAAATATCGCGAATGGTGAGCGAGACCGTAATAGGCGGCCTACGCTCGCTAGCCAACGCCGTCTCAACGCGCCATTTGAGCTTCATCGCGAGCAGTGAATGTCCCCCTATGTCGAAGAAGTTTGAATCGGGGCCAATAGCGACGGACGTGGCGGAATTGTGGCAGAGAACGTCTTCGAAGATCGCACATAAAGCGCTGATAGTGTCCCCGGACAAAATACCCCCTAGTTTCAGCTCTGCCGGTTGGGTCGTTCCCCGCTCCGCATTCGTGAGCTGCTTTGCCTGCTCGGAGAGCGATTTGGCATCGATGGCATGTAGCATACGACGGTCGCACTTGCCACTATTCGTAAGCGGTAGCGCGGACAAGATCGTGAATCGTTGCGGGATCATGTGCGCAGGGATCGACTTCTTGAGAGACGTCTTCACCATCGCTTCGGACAGAGCGGCACTTCCAAGCGTTTTGTCGGGTACGATGTATGCGCTCAAATGAGGTTCGCCAACCTCTGGCTTCACGTGGAGAACCGCTGCGTCGGCGACCAGACCCGTCCGTACAATTGCAGCCTCCACTTCCGCGAGCTCGAGACGCTGTCCGCGAATCTTGACCTGCCCTGACGTAACACGGCCCTCAAACTGCATTTGACCGTCTGGTAGCCATTTAACCAGGTCGCCCTACGTATACGTCAGCTCAGATACGTGCGTTCATCAAACGTATACTCACCGTCCGATAGAAGCGCTGTCTGCGCACTGCAGTGCTGCCATCGCCTGCGTTCCTTTCGAAAAGTTCCACTTCATGCTCGATAAACGCAGTAGCCGTCTCCTTTGGCCGGGCCAAATATTCGAGCGCTACTCCGACACCTCCGATCCAAAGCTCCCCGACGACTCCAGGAGGCACGAGTCGTCCTTGCCTGTCCACGACGCAGCACAAAGTGTGATCAAGAGGCTTGCCTATGGGAACAAGGCCGCGCTTGCCCTGGGCGCCTTTCTGCGTGGGTAACAACGATGGCACGCGGTATGCAGTTGTATAGCAGCACGTTTCCGTCGGCCCGTACATGTTCCACAGGGCAAGCCCAGGGTTTACACGGAAGATCTCGCGATAGACGTCATAATCTATCGATTCGCCACCAACAAGGAGAGTGTGCATGCGCGCGAAGGTCTCGGGCGTGGTGCGCAGTAGCGTGCGGAAGAGCGACGTTGTGATGAACGACGTCGTCACACCCGATGTAGTGAACGCCTCAGCGAGTTGCTCCGGGTCGAGCACCGCATAGCGGTCGAGCGATACCAACGTTGCGCCGGTGAGGAAGGTGCAGAATACGTCGAACACGGAGCCATCCCAGGCAAGGTTATTGAGCTGTGCCACTCGATGGGTAGGGCCGACGGGGAAATTATGCGGTGCGCCGCGAGAGACCGGATCCGCGAGGGCGAGTACCGATGCATGCGCAACGCAGACACCTTTGGGTAGACCAGTGCTACCGGAGGTGTACATAACATACGCCGGCGATGTGGGCGTTGCTGGGCAGACGTGGTAGTCAGCTGACGTAAGCGTAGCGCCGGTGAGTTCTCGCGCGGCCCGGTCGACGAGGAAATCGGAGACGTCCAGCTTCGCGACAGAAGGCGGAAGGTGCACTTGCGGCGCATCTGCGGTTGTCACAAGTACGCAACTCCCAGAGTCAGCGATGAGAGTCCGCAAGCGGTCATCCGGTAGCCGTATATCCAAGGGGACGTATGCGGCGCCCGTTTTGAGAATGGCGAGGATAGTGATTAGGGCAAGGGGTGAGGGCGGGATGCAGAATGCAACGAATACAGGAGCCGTGATACTGGCAGATTGTGGGATGGATCGGCGGATGACCTGTGCCATGGAGGAGGATAGGATATGTAGTTGTTTGTAGGTGTACTCGCTCTCTAGAAGTGACGAGGTGGTGACTATGGCCAGTCGCTCGGCATGCCTAGACACCGCATCGCTGAAGGCGCCCGGGATAGTCGTGTGCGGAAACGATGTTGGACCTTTCTGAAGAGAGACCACAGATGGAACGTTGGATGCAGATAGTTGCCGTAACGAGTTCGGGAAGTGCACATCTGCAATAGGCAGAGTTGGCTCTTTATGAACGGCATCGAAAGCAGCCCCGACGTTAACAGCGAGAAGCTGTATGTAGCCTGGAGTGAACTTTTGCGTGTTATATGTGATATCACATCTGACAGCTTCTTCGTCGCGCTCCAAAGCCCAAAGCAGGTCAACTCCTCCGAGCGATAACCGTGTGGTTGGTGTAAGAGTGGAGATCGCAGTCTGTATGGCTTTCAGCTGTCCCGAATAGGCTTCGTTTGTTGCCCTTAACTGTTGAGAGAGTTGCGCGAGTGTCGTGTCGTTGTTGACGTGAGCTTGAGCAAGGCGTAATGAACCTTCGGAAGTCGCGATGACTGTGCAAATATCAGAGACGAGTAAAGTCTATCAACGTTGAAGGAACTTACCGACGCCTGCGTCTTCGATGTTTGTAGCTCGGAAGTGGAGAGCGCGCACGGCAGTAACAAATGCTGTGACTGCATCTGGAACCTGATCCTCGCAAAGGACAATAGAGTGCGTCTTGGTGGTTGATGCAGAATCGGATTCCTCCACTGGGTCAACGTCCGGGGCAAACGCCACGAGTGCGACTTGCTCGTCGCCTGCGGGCACGTCCGAGTCGATGGACATGGGTCAAACCGCAGAGGTTTTTGCGTGTGATAGCGCTCATCGTGTGCATGCTCTCTAAGTACTCCTATCGAGGGCCGCAGATAATGATGAGCAGGAGCAAGACGAGTGCGGCATCAGGACTGCGTTCCGCGGCATCTTCTGACGGTTCCTTCCGGTGAATAAAAAGCGGCGTGTGTTGGGCGGCGTGGAAGACTTTGAATCAAACCTTCACTAGCTTCACTACGAAAAGTTGCTACACTTCTGTGTGGGCCCTTGGTGGACCCAATTAGTGCGATCAATTCCGATGTAACGTTTCGCTTTGCGCAGACACGGAGCCCACCTGCACCACGCCGTCGCCTTCCACAGGACCGTTCTTCCTGATAGCGGGCTCGTATATGAGCGCATCTCGGCGATGGCATTGTCGCGTAGGGCTCAGCTGTCTTTGCGTCTTTGGTGGACGTAGCTCGTAGCCATGATCTCTGGCGCTGACTCTCCGATTGCTCCTGTCGTCGAGTCCATTGACGACGACACAAAGCTCAGTATCACTGAGGACGACGAGCTCGATCATGTTACCGGAGATGGTAGAGCACCTACTACTTTGGAACTTGCTACGCTACGACGCGTATCGGCTCCTGTTCCTTGGCCAGCCTACCTCGTCTGTTTTGCTGAACTTGGTCTGTCTGTCTTTGGCGTTTGCATACTGGTATTTGCACAGTGCTGACTCGAGATTGTAGCTGAACGGGCGAGCTACTTCGGATGCACAGCAGTCTTTACGGTAAGCCCGAAGATAACATTCATTCAGCAGGCGCCTAACTCTTCTGATTGAAGAATTTCATCCAACGCCCAGTCAGTCCTAGGTGATTTGCATCCCCTGGGTGAGCGCTGATCTGGGGTTACTCTCATTCAGCTGCCTATAGGAGGCAACGGTGCAGGTGCACCTCCTGCAGGGACACAAGAAACGGGTTCGTGCTTCCTGCGTGGCATCTGACTTGCTGTTGACGATGTTGAGATAGCGGGAGCGCTGGGTCTCGGGCTTCCTGCCGCGAGCGGTATCAGCTTGACCTTCTCGTTCCTTGCGCTTGCGCTACCCATATTCGCCGGCGTCCTTGCGGATACCCGCTTGGGTATGTTCAAGATGATCTTTATAGCGTCTTTGATCGGGATTGTCGGTAAGCTGCAGTTCCGTCGTCCACACTTATACCAGTCGATACTCATGATTTGCGTGATCATGCGTCAATTTGCATAGGCCATGTTGTGCTCGTAGTCGCTGCTGTGCCTACCGTTCTCAGAACCGGGCATGCAATCATCCCTTTCGCAATCGCACTGTTCATCCTCGCAATCGCATCTGCAGCCATCAAGGCCTGCGTGACCCCGATTATCACCCATCAATGTCCTATAGACGCTCCACGTGTGCAGATTTTTCGACCTGCCAAGGGATGGCGCCGCTGGTTATCGTTCGGGCCGAAGGGTGTCGATGGCGAGAAGGTCATACACGGCCAGACGGTCCTTCAGGTGATTCCTCGAGGGAGGGGTACAACAGATTTCTGTGATGCCTCCGAGGATTTTCGGAAAGGGCGGTCAAAGATCCGAGCAGACGAACTTCGAGGCCATCCGCGAACCCCACGGTCAGAGTATCCGCGAACGCGTCGGAGTGACGTCACGGACACAGCGGAGCCGCGTTGACCCAGCGCGTATCGCCCTGAACGAAAGGTACAAGGTTCCGCCTGGTCAAGTACTTGGGAGGCGCGCTCAGCGGCGCGTTGAACATAGGCGCGGGCGCTTCGCGCCCGCGCTAAGACGCCGAGGGCCGAGCGAAGCGAGGCCCCGGCGTCAAAGATGAATATCGTCGCGGCGCGGCGCGAAGCGCCGCGACGGGACGGGGCCACGAATATGATCATCGCTTAAGCACATACGCTACTGTATAACTCTACGATTTGAGTACAGGCCTATCCCTTAGATTCCGACAAAAGTTATCGATTCAGAACCCGTCGTGTATCCCGCGCCAGCCCGGTTGTCGAGATGGTGGCCAACCCCGCGCCGAGATCTGCTGGCCTGAGGAGCCTTGTACGAATGGAGGAGGATGCATCTGTGGCCAGTATCCGGTGTATTGATGAAGGTCCTGTCCGTTCTGTCTGTGGCCCGGCCGTATGTGAGCATGTTGAACACCCGGCGGTTCTTGGACGAGGCTTGGGTACCCTTGAGCGTGATTCGGCGGCGCAGCCTGGGGCAGCAGACCCGGGTGCCACTGCATTTGCGATTCCAAAGGTATAGTAGTACCATACCCCAAGCCTGGCTGAGTTTGCGCGTAAGGCATCTGTGCTTGAGAGAACGGGAAAAGCTGTGGCGGCTGTGGCGGCGGCATGTCCGGCGGGGGAGGCAGTTGAGTTGCCAGATCCGTCTCCCGTGTTGTATCTCCAGTTTCAGTCGATTCCGTAGCAGGTTGTGCAGCTGCAGGGGCAGATGCGGCGGCTTTGGCGGCTTTGGCGGCGGCCTTGCGCTTGCGCTGAGCCACGAACTCGCGCTCGATGGCGGGCGTTGTGGCGGCGACTCGGTCAAGTGAAGGGCCATCAACTCGAAGTTCAGCGACACGGTATGCATTGCGCATCTGTGCCGCATTCAAAATGAGGTCGTCGGTATGAAAATGGCGAATAGCGGCTTTGAACGTGCCAGCCGCCTCTCGCTCGTGATGCTCCTCACGAGTGTTGGAGAGATCACAACGATTATCAGCACAGTTGTGCTGAACGTTGAGAGTACATACTATGGCCTACGTCGACGAGTCAGTACACGAGATGGTATATTGAAAGGGACACGAGTAGTACGCACCGATGGACTGACCAGGTCAAACCGTTGGCTCGGAGTGACTCGCCGCATCTTATAGTAAGAATGCAGTGCATTCGAGAGGTCTGCTTCTTGTACCAGAACGAAATTGGCTTGTTTAACGCGCTCTGCGTGGCTATCAGGGATCTGCACGATCTCCTGTACACGAGCGACCCGCATGCGTGACGAATTACGGCTTGCGCCCAACGCCACCCAGTCACCTGTGCGGCAGAGCTCTTTTTTGGTCCCGTCTACGAAGCGCAAGGCTTCCCGAGAGATGACGACGGGAGCCGCGGAGTCGAATCCGCAGCCTCTTACACTGGCTTCACCACATGCCTCAAAGGATCGGGTTTGCGAGAGAGGTTTGCGAGCGGCCTGACCCTCACAGACAGCTGCATGCACCAGTTAGTGACAGCGCGCGATAGAAGTTGGGCTTGCTCACGCGCCGAGTCCAATCCCGAGTGTACAGCCTGCCCGGTTTCGATTCCGTGGCCTAGGAACTTCGTCGAGAACGCGTGAGCTTGCAGAAGAGCCCGTGGTTGCTTGCCAACCGTGGTCCACCGCAAGTCTCCCAGCGTATCGGAGTTCACCTTGAGCTGCCAGGGCGACAGTCCGTCCAGCATTTCTACCCGTTCAGACGATGCGCGCACTTTATGTGCAGACTCGCACGCCGCAAGGGAAGGCACGATGAAGTAACCGCCGCTAGCGAGATGGCGGACACGATTGCTCGATGCGAGAGAGCGTGCGATATCCCGCGATGGGGCTTGTCGATTGCTGTGCACACTGTGCGAGCGGATCACGGCGTTGAAAGACTCGAAGCCTTCGGTAGCGAATAGCATGGCTGGCCCGAAGCGTCGTACATGCGCAGGAAGGTGGGTCAGGATGTGGAACTTGGGCTTATTGAACCACCGAGGGCTTGACTTGCAGGCGCACGTCAGAAAGTACTCGATTGCGGACTCCAGATTAGCCTATGACTGCGTTAGAACCAACTTGAAAGCTGGGACTGTGGGTCGTACCGTATACGTATCGATGTTTTTGATCTCTGGTTGCCATACAAGAGACACGAGCAACGACAAGGAGATCCATGCGTCTAAGATGTCCTTCCCGAGACTCTCGAAGCCGTAGAGAACAAACGGTGCTGCTTGCACTAGCCCACGAAAGTCGCGACCGACAAGAGAGCCACTCAAGTTAACCACAGTCGGACCGGGAAGCGGGGGAAGACCCAGACCGCGCGTGTCGAAAGAGGATAGACGGTCAGCCACAATGGCCTTCTCCGAGTCCTTGAGCCTGGCCATCGCGTCACGCCAGTAATACTTGACAAAGCCGAGTAGGATGACGTGCAAGATTTCGACTGGTGTATCCTGGTGCGGGTCGAGCTCTACAACATGTGGTGATCAGGAAGAGCATTCCCTGTGGCTTTGGATTCAGACATACCATCGATCTTCCAGATGGGGCTGCTCATGTCCTCTGGTCGTGGTAGCCGAGAAAGAAGATCTGCGACGCGAGCCTCCTTTTCCGCCTGAGACTTTCCGCGTGCACCCGCGGCAGCCTGGATCTGTTCAAGGTAGACATCTTGATGAGGGTCGCGAAGACCTGTCTTGAGACGTTGTAGTTTGAGTGCATCCTTACGCCAGGGGGTCTTCGCAAGCTGAAACTGATAGTCGAACTGATGCATACTCTCGCTTCGCGAGCGCGCACGTTCCCCTGGCTGTACAAGGGGAATGTGGTGCCCAATCAGCACCATATACATCAGAAAGTAGCTGAAGTCAAACCTTCATGAACTGTGAGAGGCGATCCTTCATCTGCTCGAGCGTCTCGAGCGGCCGCTTCTTCTTCTTCTTCTTGCGCTTCTTCGCCGTTGCTGCAGTAACTCCGGTCACCGAAGTCGCTGCATCATCATCTGCCGGTCCAGACGCGTCATCCTCGTCGTCAACACCCTTATGTACCCAGCACACTCGACAAAAGTAGTTCGCCGCCAAGCCTCGATGGCAACAGAACTCGCTCTGCATAGGATTGTCTCCTAGAACAGCGAGAACAGACGGAATGACCAAAACCATCTGCTTGTCGACGGCATCGTAAGCCCATATGCCGTTTTCCTGACACGACCTAGTGTATATGTAGGTAAGACGGTGTTGTGATCCTTGCGGATAGGACCACTCACTTCAACTGTTCAACTATCCCTTCAAGCATCTCCAAAGGGGGGGCTTTGTTCGAAGTGGAGAGGAAGTGGACACTGGACTCCTTCTGTACGATGTGGCGTGGTAGACCGGCCGCGGTGAAGAGAAAAGAATTGTGTTTGTTCCACTTTTTGGACATGTTACCGGACGTATCGTCACAGTACAGCCAAATGGGAAAGGCCACGACCTTGCGACCACCCGCTCGTTCGCGCCATTTATTGCCTTTCGCTGGATCGGTGAGTGTCCAAGGCTGAACTGGCCCCTGAACTAGCTCTTGTACAACTTTGATGGAGGGATATCAGCAAGGAGCCTGATGCCACAGACAACTCGTGGACGTACGGAGTCTACACGGAGACGGCAGGCCACGTCTAACATGACCCTGCTCCATAGCGAGACGATCGAATGGCATCATCAGGCGAGACGCCTCTATGACCTTCTCACCATGCTTCTGTACAACCCATGACTGATTATCTGAGGATTGAACAAGAGGCCATGCCTTGGCGAACACCTTGTCGGCACGGGTAAACCACCGCACAGGAATGCACGCCTCGCCATTTTGCAAGAGAGCTGGTTCGTAGATGAAGTAGGGTCGGTGGTCTTGGTATATGACCTGCGTCAATAGTTCTGGATTGAGTTCGTCGAGCCAGCGCGAGGCTTGCCAAGTCTCCGATAGACTCCCCGTCGTCTGTTCGGGCATGAACCGTAGGTTTGAGCGCACTTCCGGGTTGGCCATCTCCTAATATTTTATCAGACAGATATCTCGAGTAGCAAATGCAAAGAGATTAACTTGAGAAATGATAGCAGAGAGCTCATTAGTGTAGTAGACATGGCCGAGAGCACCCTCGAAACGCAATGTCCGCACACCACCGAGGCGCTGAAGAACGCGCGTGATATCTTTCATGGACCGATCCGATGGAACATCTGCGACACCCATGACGCTCAGAGCCCAGTGTATCACTTGGTTCTGCTTGTCCGAGAAGGCACTTCGCGGTACGTGCCGCAGTATGTCGAGAACACACGTCTACCCGGATCGGTCAGTCAGTCATGTCAAGTCGTGGACAGTGCAGTAATCATGAACGCACTTGTCGATCAGGCCAAGGATACCACGGGTTCTGCTCGTCACCGAATGCCTGGCGGCGCTTGCGTACATTGTTATCTGGGAAGTACGTCAAGCACCGATGCGGTAGCAAGACATGTAAAACACGCACGTAGGGAGGGAGTGTCCCCTTCACCATCCAACTCATCATCACTATCACTATCGCTCTCCTCATCCTCCCTCTCGACGTCACCCACATCCGAATCACTATCATCGCCATCATCCTCGCTATCGCTATCACTGCTATCATCGCTGCTATCAACATCGCTCACAGCATCGAGCGCGGCAGGGTCGCTGAGCTGCCACAAGCCGCGCAAGTCGTCTACGAAGAGACCAATGTCGTTGCCAGGCTCCGCGGCCATCCCTGAAGTTGGCAAGCCTCCATCAACGTCCATGTTCTCATTGAATGGGGGAGGTATCGGGGCACCATAGTCTCGCTCAAACCTCTCGGCACTCGACCTGCTGAGGACATTCAGTGCGTGTAAGACGGCGTCTTCAGGTCCTGGTGCCATGCTCGTGGTAGACGATTCGGAAGCCGCAATCGCCTGAGCAGCACCTAGCGACGACTTCTGATGACGCCGAAGTGCTTCGCGATGGGTGGCTGTTTGTTCGTGATTTGGTATACTACGTTTCGCATCCTTGACCACCACTTTGCACTGTCTGCAGTACCAGTCACCATCAGAGCCCTCGACCGGGTAATAGACTACGATGATATTATCAGAATATGTCTATATATTGCAGATAGTCGCTTACACTCTGGACGATCCGTCTTCAGAACGTGAGCACGGGTAAAAGAGGTTGCGGATCTTGAAGGACGCTCCGGAGGATCTGACGGGAAGTTGAGACCAGAGAGTGGTACGAACAGAACAAATGTGCTCACCCCGACGTACGCGGACCGCGCCTCCGAGCAACTGGTAGTTAACATAGAAGCACATATTGTTGACGGCCTGTAGGTCATGGAGAGTCTCCGTCGAGTGGCAAAACCGGCCCATAGCAGATACAACGGGGCGAAACCTTTCAAGATCGGCGATGCGACGTTGAAAGCGGAGACACTGTAGGATATCTCCGACGGTGTTGTTGTAGTGCAGCCCTAGAGTCACAGGTCAAGAAGAATGCTGCCCGACACTTCAATCGAAGCACTCATGCATCAAGAGTGAACCTGTCCATGGTCCTCGAATGAAGATGTTGATGGCTCCCTCATTGACGTGGAAGAGTGCACCTGTAGCGCGAGTGTATGGGCTCATGATACCACGCTCTTGACAGTCACAGCCTGCGCATTGTCAGCATTGGCAAGCAGCCAGGGCATGCGGCAACATACGGATCGAGTAACTAATCGCAAACACCATCAACGACGCGATGACGGCGACTAGTAACCACATTGCTGAGCTGAGGAGCACGATGGATGCGTGCAGATGCATGCCCTTGGTCAGGTACACCGACGAGATCACAGATATGACTGCCGCAAGGCCATAGTTGAGTGCGAGGACCATAAATCGTTCGTGCAAGTGTGCACGATATGCTTCACTACGTGTGCGCCTTTGTACGGTTTGCGGATTTTGGTCATATTGGTGTAGGCGCGCGCGTTCTTCGCTCTCCTTGTACGGGCTGATAATGCCACGTTCGTCGCAGTCACACTCTAGGACATCGGGTCAGGAAGAGAAGTACCCATAGTATAGCTGAAGTCCTCACGAAGTGTATAGAATATCGCAAAAGATGTCACAAGGAGGATGTTCCCAGAGAGCCAGGCTAGGCATACGAGCATACTACTGAATGCACCACTCGAAGGGCCCGACTGCCAACATCGTATCGAGCATATGGCTGCAACAGCAGATGCGAGCGCGAGATATGCTAAGGCCCATACTCGATTTCTCAGAGTGTCCCTGCAAGCTTCTACTTCAGCCTGATGGTGCCGGAGTTCTCTATGGCTCCTTTCTTCTTGTCTAGCTCTAGATCTCCGCCGATATTCAGACTGTAGAAGTATGTGGCGAGGGATTGGCCTCCCCTTCATGGTGGAGTGGGGTTAAGCCGTTCGACGCGCGCGAGGTTCGCTCTGTGGGAACACTTGTCTTTGCCGCGGCAGTCGCCGCGCGTGCATTGTGGCGCGAAGCGAGATCGGTTCTCCGTGCATGTTCAAGACAAGACATCGCGAAAATCGGCCGGTAGTCGTAGTTGACAGCAGGTGTATCCCTAGATGGTGAAATCTGGGTATCGTAGGTCTCATGGTTGAGCCACTACGAGTGCATTCTTGATTGGTACTTGGCGCGAGCCATTCGATTTTGTCGCGCGGCACCCAACGAGTGACAACCTTGCCTCTCGCCACCACGTCAACGATACCTGTGGCATATTCTTGTATACACCATCATGATGTCTTTATCCTCTCGTGGTCTGGGATGTGGCGTGCACACTTGATCAGAACACCAACATGCATTGCGAGCTTTCCGTGCCTTTCATAACCGTGCTGGAAAATGCATTATTTTGAGTATTTTCACAGGGCCTGTAAGGTGTATAACGAAGGTATAGTGAGTACTCGTATGCATTGCTGATACTATCAAAATGTATACTGTGTCATTTATCTGAGCCCCGACTCAACGGTACAAGCATACAGCCGCCAGTCATTCAAACCAGGAAGAATGCATTTTTTTGAACATTTTCATAGTACTCATAGGGTGTATAACGAAGGTATAGTGAGTACTAGTACGCATTCCTGACACCTTTGGATGGCATACTGTACCACTCACCTGAGCACCGGACCAACGGTACAAGCATACAGCCGCCAGTCACTCAGACTCACTCTGAATGGAAAGAATGCATTATTTTGAACATTTTCATAGTACTCATAGGGTGTATAACGAAGGTATAGTGAGTACTAGTACGCATTCCTGATACCTTTGGATGGCATACTGTACCACTCACCTGAGCACCGACTCAACGGTACGAGTATACACCCACCAGTCATTCAAACCAGGAAGAATGCATTTTTTTTGAACATTTTTACAGTACTCACAGGATGTTGATTAAAGGCATAGTAGGTGCTTGAACAACTGCTAACACCACAATACAATGTACTGTATTGTGCGCCTGTTATCGCTGTCAATAGCATACACACTGTCGTCACGAGCATTATAGCCCGCGAAGAAGGTTGTGCCGCGACGGTGCCACTCGCAGCCGTCGCTTTCGTTTGCAGGGGTATAATCCGCGCCTGCCTGCTCTTATGCACAGTCTCGATGCGTATTAAGTACACGAGCTGGCTCTGCGGGAATCCTTCATCCCTGCAACCCTGGGATTGATACAGACTCGGTGCGTATCAACTACACGAGCTCTGTCTACGGTCCGCGTATTAGGACGGCCGGTTGAGAACGGGGTGCCATGCCCGGAGTAGACGTCGCGAGTAGGGGCAAGGGCTGCCTCCCCCACGAGCTCAGTCTGGCGAGGGGAGGAGGCAAGACGCGTCTCAGTCTTAAAAGCCCTCGCTTGAGGTGAAACACAGAAGCACGCCGCACCGGGCGCGTGCGCGGTGAACCGCGACACGTCGTGTTGCGCCGTGGACCATGGTTCGTTTTCCCCACCATGTAACTATACTGTGAATGACTGAACCAAACCTCTTGGCTTGACCCGAACGATGCATCGTGCCATAGCGATCTATTCAAAGATTAAATGTTACTTCAACAAGATCCTCGCCGTCCTGCACACCCTCATCATCTTCGCCCTCGGACTGGCCGTCTAGCTCGTCCCTTCCCTCCTCTTCCTTCGCTTCGCCTATCCCATCCTCTGGTCTTCCGTCCTCATCCTCCCGCGCCCCTCTCTGGTCCCATCCAGGTTCCCTCGTGAACTCCGGCACCACCGCGATGCCGTCCTTGCCACTTAGCAGGTGGGCACGATCCCACCAGAGATCGCCCACTGCCTCTCGCATACGATGCCACGCCTCTTGCCAGTGCGGGAAGTTGTAGAGGTAGTGGCGAACGGTCTCGTCAGCCTTGCCGCACTTCTCGCAGAGCGGGCTGGTGAGGCATCCGATCCGATGCAGGTGCGCGCCGAGTTGCACGTCGCCCGAACGCATCTGGAAAAGTGTCGAGCTCGCCATGCGCGACCAGTCCTCCGTGACCCGCATGTGCTTCCTCGCCTCTCTCCAAGTCGTCGCGTGTACTCCTGGCATGCCGCCGAAATACTCGACTTGAGGCAGAGGTGGAGTTCGTGAGGGAGATCGATGAGCGCGCTCGTGTGGCATTCCGCCGCTAGCTTCGCATGCTTGTCGATGATCTCATTGAACGCCACGTCGTCGTGGCCAGAGACCCAGGTGCATAGTATGTATCCCAGTCCTTAGATCACACCACGCCTGCTCCCCTCAGGATCATGCCTACACAATCTGTAGCCCAGAATAACCTGGTTTCGTTGCACCCTTTCCTCCCCCCAGTTTCATCCATATGCACCTTACTATGTAATCCTGCGTCTACTCTACTACATGCAATATGATCACCGAACTTGTCTTACGACTTAGTTCGAGAGGCTCGCCCACAAGGACACTGTAGCCCCAGACGTAGTGACAAGCGAGGCGCAGAGGCGTGAGAAAGTCAATGCACCAAATATCCTCTGATTCTGTTCATGTTGAGTCGGCCTGGTTCCCCTCTTCTTCCATGGATCCCAAACCCAACGCAACTCTCGATTCAAAGTATGAGAAACTTTACGCAGAGGTGGTTGCTCTTCGGCGGCGCTTGACCATCCTGGAGAAAAGGATGCACGACGGGCAGCAACATACAGCAATGCATGATCATGATCGGGCCAGTCCGGGGATGGTCCAGGATATGTATGCCCTTTCTTCCCATGCCAATTGTAGCCCTCGGCAGGACTTACTCTTATGGCAGTGGATCTTTCGGTGGCGTGAAGGGGATACAAACTTCCGGGAGCCGCCGCCTGAATCGGAGGGGGGGGATGGGTGTTATAGCATCGTCGCAGACCGATGAGATAGAGCTCACTGCGCCCATCACGGCCTCGCCACTTTCGTCGTACGTGCTCGTACAAGCCATTACATTGACATGCGCACTGTCTGAATAGGACTAGGGGTATGATCCCTTCCCCTCCAACTGCTTCTCCCAACAACCCGCCCATTCGCACACCATCGCGAACCTCCTTCACCTACGCAGACGTGAGCGGAGTGGCAGACAGCCCCACAGAATCTGAGCATACCTCCTCGACACCGTATAAGAAGCGATCCAGGCCGCAGGTCAGTCAGCGCGAGAATAGCCAGGCATGTCGCTTGATTGTTGACAGCAACACGCGAGCCCAGTCTCAGGCCACCCATGACTATGCTCGGCCTACACCAGTCGATCCCAATGATAGCCCGACCGAGTCCGAGCACACTGATTCGACACCTTACAAGAGACGGGTTCCAAGGGTGAGTCATCTCTGTGCGGTGTCCATCGCATAATTTCCTGACTACTACATGCCTGCAGGTTGATATACGAGCAAACCAGTCTCATACCGCCCCCGCATCCGCTCCAATATTGAGCAGTAGCCCCACGCTATCTGAGGCCAGCACCCCGACGGCGTATACGAGGAGACTTAGAGGAGGCGGACCTGTCTCATTCGTACAGTCGACCGCGCATCGCAATACGTCGGTAACTGGACGAAGGCGAGCGGTCCGCAGAAATGGTAATGATTCAATGTCGCTGTCGGGGGAGATGCGTCGTGTCAAACCATTGCCGGCGCCTTTCTTTGGGTCAGTTCGGAGAACGACATCAGACGATGAGTAGCACGTACGTGCGCGATTCCGAACTAGTCCTTCTAGAATGGCGAGCTGACACGGCACGTAGATGTGCTGACCGTTATTGTGCTTTCCTCATGGTCCTGAAGCTTCAATCAGCGGCTGCCATTAGTATGGCAGAAGTTGCAGGTGACATACCGTGGTGTACGATGCGAGCCGACTTTCGGCGTCTTCAAGGCCGTATATCTGTGGATCAAAAACTATGGGATGTGCTTTTGTATTTTATGGAGGGAGACGTCGGCGCTGTACGCGGAATAGATCGCATGCAATGGTGGGAGGACAAGGACAAGGGATGTCCAAAAGCGCGAGCGAATTGCCCGAAGCGGCGTGTGACCGTACGCGCGCTAATCAGATTTGTTGTGTTCATCTTCGGCGAGGCGTGTCTTGGTTGCTCCCGACCACCACGGCGCTATCCAGTACGACTTCGCTTCAGTACTTAAGCTTGTCATCGACGAAGTATACTCTGGTTGAACAAGTAACCGTGTCATCTTGACTCAATACCAAGGTGCCACGAAGCTTTACTGTTGAGTACGACGCTCGAGCGCTTGTGACGGACGAATGTATTGGAGGCGATGGCACACAATTGTATAGTGTTCGCTCGCGCAGCAGTACTGTGTCTTCGGCTCGAACGGTTGTTGCGTGAACGTATTGCACGTACATCGAGCCTTGTGGGCAATAACCGTGCTCTCGGAGACGACTATGATATTATCCCTGACTCAAATTACTACGCTATACTGTGCCCGGTCCTCGAGCCCCTCGTCCGCAGGAAGTGCGCGCTTGCGAGCTTTTGTCGTTTATTCGTGGTGGCCAGTGCCATATTTCCTGACAGCGACAGCGACGGGCAGCCCGAGCCGACTACACTTATGTCATCCAACTGACTACTCTACTGACACAATACTCGTCTCCCAAGGAGCACATAGGGATTGCCTCAAGATAGTTCGTGTCGCGTCCAGCGCGCTGGAGTGGTATTTCACGTGATCGTATCAGCTTCCGCTTTCAGGGACCCCAGCGAGCGGTTCCAACTTCAAGTCGCGTCGTTGCCCTCCCGCCGTCACAACCCAACGACCTTGCCAGCACACCATGTCTTCGAACGGTGCTCACCGTTCCTCTTCCCAGGCTCCCACTACGCGCATACAGCACCTACTGAACTTCAAGGAAGGGATTGTGGCCGAACGCGGGCTTGACAGCACGTCGCAGGAGGCCTTCGATTCGTTTTTTGAAGTACGTGTCTCCGCAAGTCTTGCGACCCTTGCCGTTATGCTCATGTACATCGTAGATGTTCAACGAAGCGCCCCCTATGGACTTCATGATGAACAGTGTGGTCTATGGACACGTGTTGCACAATGAGCAACGCCTGAAGCGTGTCGAGGATGCATGCGGGCAGATACTAACAGGGCTGGATGAGCTCAAGAAGGCCGTCTCGTCTCAGGGACGTCTGACTGGGGATCAGGAGGTACGTCCTGCGGCTTGATTCGTAGTGTTTCATTGCTGAGGGTTCTTAAGGCCGACGTACGCAAAATAGCGAAGAAATGGGCCCTCTCAAGATGCAGCAACATGCAAGAACTAAAGGATGTCATTCTGGTAAGTCTCTTCGGCGCGTTTTCTCGGTGTTCACCCTGTGCTGACCGCGCGCAGACCGAAGTGAAGAAGAAGGAGGAGTTCAAGGTCCTCTGCAAGACCGGGCCCGGTGATCACGCAGTCCAGAAATACGTCGGTGAACAGGCCTCCTACATCAAGAATATATTGCGTGATACCGTGCGCCTGCACCTGTGGCAGCAGTCGTCTTGTGGACTCACACATTTCTAGCTTCTTGCCACCACGATTGGCGCTTCCAAGGGCGGCTTGAGTGTTACTGTCGATGAACTGAAGGCCAAACTGACCAGCAAGAAACCGACGAGCACGCAGGCCATGATGATATTATTCCTTGTATGTATCATTTGTACGGTGTGGACTGGCTGTTGCTTACGCAATATCTGCAGCGAGAATATGTACGTGAGAATGCGAAAGCCCTTTCGTGCTATGCTGCGTCCGGTTCTACGGACGATGACGCCGCGGCCAGGAGTGGTGGTGTCTTCTTCGATCTGACAGATAAGGCATTCAAGGAGGCAGCTGCGGAGTACGGTGAAGAGTTCGGGGAGACCGTCGAGTGGCAAATGTAAGGGTTGGGCTCAGACTCGCTCTAGCGATGGCACCCTGACCTCGTTGACATAGATACCTCGATAAACTCAAGAGAAAAGAGCTGGAATTATGGCCGGAAAACAAGTTCGGATCGATCTTGCCCATGCCTGCGCGTCCCGCCGCCGGTCCGGCGCCTATTCCTGTGGCGACATCTGTCCGTAACGTCCTGGACAAGGGACCTACACCCTGCCCTCGTCAAGACGACCCAACTGGAATGCGCCCCCTTTCTCCACGAGTTCCTTCCCCTTCCTTGCCTCCTCGCTTTGATGCGTCGCAGAGCTCGAGTCCGGCTTCCTCGGGTGGATTCTTCGCAGGTGCACGCACTCCCGCGTTGGATGGCTCGTCGCCATCGCAACTTCACTACAGTTTCAACCGTCCACAGGTCAATCACGCAGGTCATCCGGTAAGATTTCTCCTATCATCGTGGCTTCAGCTCACGCTTCTCCATGTAGTATTCGGACAGTAGTGCCCCTCCTCCGGCGACGACTTCTTCGGGGTCACCTGGAGGTGAACGCCGCGTGAGTCGTCATGTCAGTTTGTCGTCGTCCAATCATGTTCTGAACACCCAGAAAGATCGCGCCACTGCCACGTCGTTCTCAAAACCAGGTACAATGTCAAGTGATCTGTCCGAGACAAACCTTCGTCTCATCTCTCGATAGGCTGGGGTTCATGGCGGCAACAGCCCATATCACCGTACTCGTAACCTTTCAGGCATGGCCATGGCTGGCACTCACGAACTGGTGCGTCGATGACTGTGTCATACTTGTTCACCCTCGATAATCAGCGCTGCGTTCAGGCTTGGGATCCAGTATATGCGGCCGCGGTTCGTATTTCCGAAAAGCTCGTCTCGGTCCTTGCTCACAGGGTTATAGAATGGGTTCTCGAACGATAACGGTGGTACACGCCCTGCATCAACTGCCAATGGCTATCGGGCATCGGGATACGAACAGGTGCGCGCGTGTATATACATCTCGACCACTCAACATGCTCATGTCACCCATACAGCTCGGGTACAACACGTCTTGGGGTGGCAGTGGGCCACATACACCGGACTCTGGAGATGTTCCGGGCACTTACATGGGCGAAGGCAGGGCGGGTGCGGGTCAAGAACACTCGCATCGTATGTTTCTTATCCTCACTGACTTGCTTCGCTCGAACTTATCTCGTATTCGCTCAGACACGCAAGGCTGACGAAGACGGCTGCCTGCACCACTCAGATCACTGCGGCGGCCGATATGGAGGTTGCCTGTTTATTTCCTGCTCACTACGCTCGTGCTTCGTATATACTATCTATCCCCAATGCCAATGCATAATGTGTGTCGTGCTGTACCGAAACATAGATGAAAATGCTAAAATAAAGCGCAAAGAAGGGAATATTGGATTGGCTGCGACCAGGGTATATGGTGACGTCAAAGTCTGATGAGCCGGTCGGTCCCGCGGTGTGGGTGGGCCTGACCGCTCCCGCAGATTCTTAGGAATGGTCATCTCTGAGAATTTTGTCCCCAAGAATCTTAGGACTCAGCCGGATATTCCGAAAAGATTTCGACCCCGTTCAATCCTCGGATTCTTCAGTCCGGCCGTCCGGCCGTGTAGTTGACCCTGTACGTATAGTCACTGCGAGATAGGTCCGAAGCTCGAGGACTGACGGTCTTTTAGGAAGTGACGATGCAGAATATGCTCATGATATATTACTGGGCTGTCACTGTCGGTTCAGTCATGCCCATTGCTACGACTAACATAGAAAAACGCTCTGGTTTCTGGCTAGGTAAGTACTGATCCCATATGCACGCGCATCTTAGGCTAACCAGAATACACAGCCTTCCTCGTACCCGGAATACTGTACTTCATCCTGCCAGGAGTACTCGCAGCCACGTACTATTTCAAACTGATCAAGATGCCTCCCATGCAACGTTCTGTGGTCGCAGACGCCTGGCGCGCTCTCCAGATCGCATGCAAAGCAGCCGGAGTGAGAACTCTACTCACGGAGGGACCCGCTTGGAATGCAGCGAGACCGTCGTCTACTCAAACATTTGCTTGGGACAGCACGTTCGTTGACGAGCTTCGGCGAACTCGCGCGGCGTTCAAGTTCTTCTGCTTCCTCCCGGTCTACATCATTGTCGATACCGGCCTCACTACTCTCTTCGTCAACATGGCTGCCGGGATGACGACCGACGGGTATGTGTTCTATGCCATGAGTAAGAGGCGAACTCTACTGAAGTGTCTTACAGTGTACCCAATGATCTCTTGACCGGGTTCAACGCTCTCGTTCAAGTCATCACTATCCCGATCCTGAACTTCTTCGTCTACCCCTTATTCAGAAGATGGGGCATCAACTTCTCTCCTCTGCGCCGCATCATGTTCGGCTTCGCTCTCACCTCTGTCTCCATGAGTGCGCGCTTTCACCCGATACCAAAGCTGGATCGCTGATAGTTTGACCAGTCGTCGGCGCTGTACTGCAATGGCGCGTCTATGAGACATCTCCGTGCGGGTATTCAGCATCGAAGTGTGCGATCGGTACGGGGGTCTCCCCGCTCAGCCTATGGTCGCAGCTGCCGCTGTACGGCCTTCCTGGTATCGCCGGTGTCTTCATCAACGTCACGGGTTACGAGCTCTCCATCAACCTTGCACCGCAGAGAATGAAGGCCGTCATCTTCGCCGCCCAGTTGTTCTTTGTCGCGCTCGCTTCGGCAGCGGCAGCCGCTGCCTCACCTAGCTTCCACGATCCACATCTGTGAGTCAGCCCAGGGGTTCAAACACTTTGCTGTGCGATTGATGATTCATGCAGCATATGGCCATTTGTCGGTCTTGCCGTCGCTAATGCGCTGGCCATTCCCGTTGCTTACTTCGTACTACACGACATCGACAAGGAGCAGAAAGCAGTGTTCGAGCTTCCTATTCTCGTCCCAGCAACTTCATCTGATCCCAATGCCGATGAGGAAAAGCGCTAGCATGCTCAATGTGCGCCTCATACAGGATGATTTCGGTAGTCCTCTGTGTAACATGGTACTCGAATGGTTCATAGATACACACGCCTGTCGAGATGAAGACATAAGATTAGCAAGTTGAGAGCATGAGCTGTGTATATGCGCAATAAAAATGATAGCAGTACGAGAGCACAACAGACTCCGAGTCACGCGTACAAGTGATAGTGAAAGGCGGCCAATAACTCGAACAAGATATCCCACAAGATGCAGAGTCGGAATAAGATGGAGGCAGCGTGGAAGGGTATCAACATCGCGATCATCGTCTCGCGCGCTTACGCGTGATCCTCACGCTCGCCTGCGAGCTCGCTGGCGAAGGTGGGGCCACGGGACTCGCACGCACGCCGTTCGAGATTGGCGACGGCGGCACGACGTCATCCGTCATCTCTTCGTCCTCTTCCTCTTCCCGCGCGCGTTTACGTCTTGTAGAGGTAGACGCCTTGGGAGTTGCCTCACGGTCCTCCTCCATGGCTTCGGAGGGCGCGCGCGAGCTGCGCCGTTGCGGCGTCTTATTTGGTGATTCGGAGGACGTGACGGCTTTCCTTGGCGAGGGGTTCTTCCGTATGGGTCTGGCAGGCGTACGGGGTTGAGGTTCCGGCTCGTCGGGTTCGGAAGGCGGTGCAGAGGCTTGACGGGCGCGGGTGTTGCGTATGCGTCGGGCGCGTGGACGAGGTTTGGGCGCTGGCGCGAGGTCTTGCTCGATCTCTGCCTCGGACAGGCCGGATAGCTCCTCGTCCGTGGTGGTCGGGTTCGCGGTCGTCTTGGCCTTCTTGCCCCTTCCAGCGCCACCTTCGGTTATGTCAGTCGAGTGTTGCATGGGAACGTATAACTAGGAAGAACGTACCTTTGCCCTTGGTCATTATGTTATTCAATCGGCGCTCATAGGCGCGTTGTGGTTCCCACACGGGCGATGTCGCTGAGACCTGCAACTTTGCCTGCGCAAGTGCTTGATCCATGTGCGCCTTACTACAGTCCCGCTCAAAGTCAGCATACTCTAGATCAGTTCGGTCTCGGTCGCACGCACATTCTCAGAGCATCGCGCTCATCGACTGGTCCCAACAAAGGCTGCAACACGCGGAAGAACAGGATGGCAGAGTTCCTCGCCTTCTTGTTCTTATTGACCTCATGCCCGCCGACCTGCTTGATGATCCAGGAGAGCAAGGTAGTGTGGATGGAGACGATATGTTCCGATGGGAGCTTGCGCTCGATGGAAAGGTGCGCGCCACGCTTCATCAGTGTTCCCACGAGCAGCTTGGCGAGCGCCACTGACTGCGTCTCGTCGCCTACAACACCTTCTAGATGCAGTTTGAACGCCTGTATATTTTGCATGAGCTTCTTTTAAGATGTCACTAAAAATGTGTTCACTCACATCGCGCAGCGACTCGATGACGATCGAGACGACCATCTCCCCCTGCTGGTCATACAAACCGGAATCCCTCACGAACTCCATCAGCGCCTTCGCACTCGCCAGGTCACACATCTTGCCCAGGCGGCCATAGTGCACGAAGATGACCTTGCCATGTTTGGGATGAATGGCGCCCGTGACGATTGCGCGTGTGAACGAATTGACGAGATCATTGAAGAGGAGCTGACGCTCGAGTTGCGTGCGTCGGACGTTCGCGCCTGGTAGAAGAGAGTCAGAACGTTATGCATAGTGATGTTATAATGAAGGCAAATGATGTACCGTTCGCAGTGGGTTTGGGTTTCGCGTTGCCGTTTGCTGCCCGCTTGCGCTTCTTGATCGTCTGCGTGTCCTCCGCATCTGAGCCTTCCTCCTCTTCCTGACTCTCCTCTTCATCCGTCAGCTCTTCAATCTCCTCCGCGAACCTCTCGATCTCCGCTTCGATGTATACGGTACACCTGTCCTGGACCTCCTCATCCAGCGCCAAAGCAAGTAGGGGATCCGGCGACGCCCTTTGGCTGAACAAGACGTGGATGTGCATGAGCTGTTTGAACCCCACTCGTTGGACCTCTTCGGACGTATTGGACTGTGTACCCACAGCGAACTCGACGAGTTTCTTGAGGAATACCTCGCGTTGTTCGATGTATGTCTCATGCAGAGGCACCTCTTCCTCGGTCTCCTCAGGTAGAGCAACGGCTTTCCACATGAAGTGTACGGAAAGAGTGACGAGGCATTCCTGAACCATCTACATGCGATTCATCAGTACAACGTGCTGTATGAAAGCACGAACATATACGTACCGTCTCTTCCTCCCTGTACCCCAACTTCCCACGATCAGCCAACGCGTTGACGATGTCAGCCACACTGCTCTGCTTTCCCCCTTCATCCTCCTCCATCCAATCGCCCATATCCCTCTTTTGCACCAGCGCCGCGATCCTCGAACATATTGCGCTGAGATGCCCGACCTCGTCCTCGTTCAGACTGGTGATAGCCAACTCTTCCCGCCCCGCGACGAGTTCTCGGAGTGAACTGGAGAGCTCGTCGGAGAGTTCGGTCAGTTTGGTTGTGTTGATGGCAGAGAGGGATGTGGATTCGAGCAGGTGCAGGATTGATGTTATACAGTGCGAGATGATCGTAGGCGAAGAATGAGAGGTGAATTGCTTGATAATGTCGTCCCAGAGGGCTTCGTACGCCTATAACAATAGAAAGATTCAGCCATGTATATGCCAAAGGCGGGTCGAGGGCTTACGGTCATCATGCGCATCTCGAGGTACAGGTCGAAGTCCATGAGCGGTGGAATGAGGAGTACTTGGGCTATGCGCTTCTCGTCTGCTTGATGCTTCGCGAAAAGCGCGGGAAGGCCCTTGATGAGTGCACGAGTGATGTCGGAGACGACATTCTCTCCTTCGTTCTGTGAGCATAACGTCAGCAAAAGTAATTACAGAATCGAGCGAGGGGTGTACCTTCTTCGTGCTAGCGACAGCGTCCGCCTTTGCCTTGCTCAAAGACGTAACAAGAACTTCCAGTAATGTCGCCTCCTCAACCTCCTCCAACCTCCACGCCTCGTCGACAGTTGCATCGCTCTGCGTCGGCTTCGCCTTGCCCTTCCTCTTCCTTCCCTGGCCCTGATTTGCCTCCTCAGCAGAGTGATCAAGTAGAAGCACATCGAGCAGGGCCTCCCAATCCCTCACGGGCTCCACGTCATCCCAGAGGGCCTCGACAGCAAAAGCGACCCGGCTCTTGCTCTCGCCATTGACAATCGCCATGAGGTGCCCCAGCCTTAACAGACCAGACGCGCCATCCGCTCTCATCTCGTCGGCTGTGTCCTCCTCCTCTTCCTCCACTTTCTTCTCGAGCGCCTTGCCCAGCCTTACGAGTAGTGTGCCCAGCGCCTTCACGCCCGCACGGCTCGTCTCCTGCTCGCTCGCTTTGCGCCCGGATAGGCGTTCTTTGACAAGGTCGGCCCATACGCCCTGTACAAACCCGCTCACAGCCTTCCGTACGCGAGCCTCGGGGTCGTAAGCTAGCAGGCACAGTTCCTCCCTCTCGTCGTCGTTGAGCAGCTCGTGAGCATCGATAGCGCTCAGAACTTGAATCATCGACACCCTAACGGCTAGGTCCGTATCCCTCTCCGCCATCTCTACGAATCTTGTCTTGAACCTCTCCGTGAACGCCTGCAAACTGCCAATATGGTCCGGATTATCGTATATGTTCGCGAGCGCTCTAACGGACTCGAGCCGGACGGGGTTGTTCTGGTCCGAAAGTGTCCAGCCGACGTAGCGGAGGTAGTTGCCTTCGAGGATGAAGTAGGCCGGGTACTTCGCGAACCACTGACCGAGTGCGTGGATGCATTCGGCACGGATTGCCGGGTCGAGGTCGCGGTATCGGTTTACGAATACACCGTCGGTAAGCGCTTTGAGAGTTTCCGTTAGGTTCTCCTTGCGTTCGCTGATCTCGGCCGCCTTGGCCTCGAGCTCTTTGACGCGGCTGGCGCCCTTGGCTTTTGCGCCCGCACTGCCCTTCCGCTTCTTCTCGGCTTCTAGCTGACGTTCAGTCGTGCTAGCTTCTTTGTCCACGGCCGCAGCGACGTCGCAGAGAGCGGTCTCGACCTCGAGCGCCAGCACAGTAGCTGTGTGACGGAAAGAGCGGACCTGGGAGGAGGACATGGCTGCGACCCAGTGCTTGAAGACGTCGATGAAGACAGTTGTATACATCAGCCCCGTCTCGGCCGAGGCGGCGACAAGTCTGTGAAGAAACTCTGCGAGGGACTTGCGGAACTTCTTGAACATGGGCAGTTTCGAGGTTAGAGGGTAGACGGGCGAGTCGTCCTACGAGCGTGTTAGAGAAACATAGTATAGAAAGTATTGTTAGTGCATACCTGCTTCAAGAGTTCGGTTATCTCGTCCAGCCTGTCCACCACGCCGTCTTCGTCCACCGCCACATCAGGGCTGACAGACTCGTTGCAACCACAGGCGCGGAACATGCAGTTCACCAGGTCGGCTAGTGCAGTATTCGGGTCGTTTGAGAGCGAGTCCATGAACTCCTCTGCGGTGAGTTTCAGAGCAGTAGATGGGTTCATAATGGCGTCTGTGAATGTCATGAGTATATGTAGAGTGTATGGATTATATAAACACGTACTGAAAAGAGCATTATCCGTGTTCAACCTCGTCTCCTTCGCCACAGCGTCCGCATCGTATTCCGCACCGGCCCGGGGTTTCCGGCGACCGCGAGTGGTAGTTGTCGCCGGCTTTGCTTTGGGTGCACGAGTGCGGGTCGTCGTGGTCGCTGCCTTGGCTCTGCCGCGTTTGGCGCCACCCGCAGCGGCAGTCTTCTTCGGCGCAACATACGCCTCTCCCTCTTCTTCTTCCTCTTCTTCCTCATCACTGGGCTCGTCATTGTGTTCAGAAACAGCGTCCGTCGCACCCTCGTCGTCGGTGTCGTCGCTCCGTTTCCGCTTTAGTTGCGAGCCTGCACCAGGTAACAATCCCATCAATTGCCGGCGCTACCATTACTTTCATTAAGCAGTACTTACTGGAGAGAAAAGGCTGAGACTGGCGCTTATCGCGCTGGGACCGCCGAGGCTGCGAGGCAGGCTCAGAGTCGGACATGGTGAATGGAGAGAGCAGACAGAGACGCGTCGGAATTACGGACGCGACGCGACTTGTCACTCGCTCAACAAACCACCGTCACACGCGGAAATCGGTTTCTCCAATCTGACACTGTCTCAGTGTCTGCCATCATCATTCACTGTACAAGAATATTCCCATGGACTTGTGCGTCCCCTGCCATCCTGGACATAGACTTCGTAGTGATGAATAACACCTCGCAGATCTGAAGCAAGCCACCCCGGTCAAGATGACAACTATTGGACAACATGCGTAGAGTCGCGTATACCCGCGACGTACCCTAGTGCGGGGTCAGCCTCCAAGGCCGCAGAGCGAAGTGCTGCCTTGGATGTGGATATACAAAGGATGGAAGCTTCCGTGGTACTTGCGAAGAAGAGACGCAACATGAGCGCCATCTGCTCTCGTCTTCCACCGGAATGTCTGCTCAAAGTGTTCACTTCCACTGTGGACATCTGGGTCCCTAGACGCCAGGATTCAGAAGGCGAAGGAACACCTCGATATACCAGTGGATGGATGACTATAACACACGTCTGTAGCTCGTGGCGAGAGGTGCGTCACCAACGCTCTTGCGATCAGATATGCATTGCTTATGAGTGCGACGTTCAGTTTGCCTTGTCGGCACCATCCCTATGGACGGATATAATTTGTACATCACTGAACCCTGACTGCGCAAACGAAATTCTTCGCCGGTCAAAACTTGCTCCCCTAGAGCTGAGCTTCCTCGTCGGTTCGAAGGACGATCCTTCCGTCTTGTCCATCTGGCTTCATGGGGCTCATACACAACGGACGAAATCACTCTGCGTGGTCGGCACATCATCATCTAGACCCGAGATCTGTTCTCAGTTATTATCTGGCTTGTCGCAATACGAATGGCCATCTCTCTCTCCTGCACTTGAGCTACATCCTGAGGCGTCCGAAGAGAAACATTGCTCTTCCACAACCTCTATTCGCTGAAGGATGGGGCTCAAAGCTGACATCTCTAACATGCGCCTCCATCATGTTCACATGGCCCGTCGAGATATCGTTCGGGAAGTTACAACACTTGCGGCTCACGCTGAGCGGCTCTGATAGTATCGCGGACGCTCGCGCACAGCTTCTTCCGACTTCCCAGCAATTGGTCGATGTGCTCTTGGCGCTCGAGTCACCCAAGACCATTGAACTGAACAATATCTTTCCGGTGCAAGGGTCGTATGCCGAGGAAATTGCATTGCCAACCTCTCTACTTCAACTCGTTCTGAGTACCAGCCGCGAGGATCAGGCATCGTCGTGTGCGCAGCTCTGGTCCCGACTCATCATACCACCCAACACAAATGTCGCCGTGGACATCCGAAAGGTCGACGAAGGTCAACTGGCCCCATTACGCGAAGCTTTCACGCGCCCGGTGTCAGGTTTCCAGCGTCATCCCAGCGAATTGGTCATCGCCAAAAGCTCTCTTTTACTGTTAGGTTCGCCATCACTCGAGGACCCGTCCGCAACATCACCAAACACCCTAATCATGCAAGCCATTACTACCCTCGATGTGAGGGAGCTTGGTGACGGACCCAACGCGTTCTTCAATTTACATCCCTCCTCTCAAGAAACCTCTTCCTTCCTGCCGCTGCTGGACATGCACTCTGTCCAAGTGCTGCACTTCACACGAGGCGTATTGGACTGTCATGATGAGAAGAGGTACTGGCTTGAGACGTTTTTGCTCGCGCAGAACGTTCAACGCGTCGTCGTCCCCGTCACCACTTCGTGTATGTCATTGCTATACGCCGTGGCACAGACAAGCGTCACAGCCCCCGGCTCTGAATCCTGTCAACTATTCCCCGATCTTCACACTCTGACCCTTCACCATACCGAAGAGCGCCCAGCTGCCACTCCGCTACCCGTCTTTGTCAACGTCCTAATCTACTTGATCCACGTTCGGCGGCAGTGCGGCCAACCGATCCGGGCGCTTCAAATATCGCGCTCCCAGCAGGGATTGCCAGTATGGGATTCAGTCGTCAATGAGAGCCTACCGATAACTTGGTTTTGATGTGCCCCTGCCCCCGCGCCCCACAATGTAATCTTATGATTTATTCAGCTACGAGGGTTCCACCTGAAAAATACAGTGAGCGCACTTGCATGCGCTGGCGGATAACAGATCATGCCATATGATGGCCGTGACGTACGCTTTCGTGCGCTATTCTCAGCGTACGGACTCTTCTCGAGCAACTCATCAAGTTAAACGCGAGACCTACTGAGTACTGAGGCTGCTCGGCATATGGCGACACTGTTCAGCCTCAATCTGCTGTAGAGCGGCGCCATATCCATATCCCCGGTTAAGGCCGTCAGCTCTAAGTTTATTGGACCTGCCAAGCCCTGCGTCATCTGGATCACGCCATTCACTCGCTGTGGCACCGGCCCTGTCCCTGTCCGAACTCGGAAGTGGCAGCGTTCAGCAAACCTGTGCTATGTGCCCTCGCGAACTTACCCTTGTTCCTATTTGCTGCGCAACCTCACGGACGCCCTATGGAGACCAGGATACACTGGGCACAAACGCACGTTCGGGGTATGAAATGTCCGGAGCGGCACGCACGACCATGTCATCGAGCCTCTTTTAGTACGCACCGCTACCGATCGGGCCGCCGTAATGGCGCATAGAACATTCAACATACTCTGACAGGGCGACCCTACATGTCATGGGTATAGGCTGGCAGCCGGCGCTCCTAACCGTATCACCTATAAAGACACTGCGTCATCTCTGCACATCCTCCAGAGCCTACCACTCTTCCCTCCTGCTTAACGCCCTCTATCGCGCTATCTATCCAAGGTTATACGGACCTGTCTCGCCTCCCTTACACAATGCTAACTGCCTCTCAGATGTCTTACGGTGGCAACGACAACTCCTACGGGTCCTCTGACAACGACTTCTCCGGCAGCGGCGCTAACGACAGCTACGGCTCGTCCGACCGTCGCGGGGACTCCTACGG